TGAGTAATTATTTCTGATTTCATTTTTCCCAGATCCTCTTTTGTTGCCAGTTCAGAGAGTCCAGGTGGTTGAATATCAGAGTGTTCCATCTCGTTTCCCTTTGGGGTTGCTGTAGGTGATCTGGATCTCTGTTTTTGAGGCTTATGTGTTTTCTCATTTCCATGGAGGGGGTGCTTCTGGGACCCATGCAGCTCAGCTTCTCTGGTCTAGGAGCTTGGGATGGCAGCCGGGGAGCTTCCTTCCGGGTTCTGGGACTGGCTGAGCTTCTCTGCCTTAGGAGCTTAAAACTCCTCTTGTAGCCATTCTTTTGTGTCTAATCCCTCTTGTTCCCTTCAGTATGTACCTGCTCTTCACTTTTGTTGTGTTAGCTTTCATAATTAGATGACAAATAGAAACTCCTTGACTCTATGACATTGCAAAAAATACTTGGGATGACTATTTAAAATTTTTTTTTTATTAGTACATGTTTGCAGTACATAGTGATTGCATTTATTGTGGGGAATTGGTACATGTACATAAAACATCTCAATTCTTTTCCCCCTGGCTCTCTACCCCAACTTAAAAATTTTTTTTCCCAGTGTCAGATTCATTTACTTATTTTATAAGTCCTTATCAAGTTAATTATCATAAATACAGATTAATAGCCAGGCTAACAGGCCAAAAAATATGAAAAACATATAAGAAATTCATATGAAATCAAGGTATTCTTTTAGATACATTGCAAGCTGAATTACAATAACATTTTTTCCTCTCCCCATTTTTCTTATTGTCTTTTCTTTTGTACTTTATTTATATATTGGGCTTCTCATAGATGAGAAACCATGTGATATTCAAGCCTGTGTGTCTTATTTACTTCACTTAACATTATGGTCTCAATGTACGTAGGATGACTTCCTTCCTTTCTTCCTTCCTTTCTTTCTTTCTCTCTTTCTTTCTTTCTTTCTTCTTTCTTTCTTCATACCAGAGATCAAACTCAGGACCTTGCACTTGCCAGGCAGGTACAGCACCACTGAGCTAAATCCCCAGCTACTACTTTATTATTATTTTTTTTTACTACTTTAAAACATTTCATACCTGTACTTGGAAAGCCTTCTAAAATTTTCTGGAAATGCCTTCCAAAGTTCTACATTTTTACCTACGTTTTGAAAGCCTTTTAAAGTGCTACATTTAAGAAAATGGACATTTTTCTTTGTCAGAGATTAATTTAAAATTTTTCACATTTTCTTGAGGATGAAAATATGAATGATGAATATTTGCATTTAAGACACCTTTTGATTTTTTTCAGAAATCAAACAATGCTTAGGAGAGGTAAATTTTTTATTTTTTAGAATCAACTATTCCTTCCTTCCTTCCTTCCTTCCTTCCTTCCTCCTTCTCTCCCCCACTTTTCTCTCCCTCCTTCCTCTCTCTTTCCCTCCTCACCTTTCTTTGTGGCACTGGAAGTTGAACCTACAGAGGGCCTCCTGCATTCTAGGCGAGCGCTCCACCACTGAGTTACATCCCAGCCTCATTTGGGGTTAACAGTGCTGTTGGCCAGGTGGTAACTGTCCTTTGCTGTTCCAGAGCACTTGGCTGCTCTCCTCCCCACAAGCCTGGGTGGGGTCAGTGCCTCACCCCTGGCTCTCTGGCACGCTGCGTAAGCTCTCCCATGGCACTTTTCACTCTTCACTGTTATTAATGTTCATCTTTTTCTTTGACTGGACCAACAGTGCCTTGTTTGAAAAAATATCCTAGTATTCATCTTTGTAATCAAGCAAATCTTTTGCTCAATAGAAGCATTTCATGCTGGCTGAATAAATAAGTGAAAGAATGAATGAATGGGGGGAATGAATGAGTGACTTACTGGACCTGTTAAACAGTATTAGCTCATTAGAATGGGGGATTCATATATCATAGGCTTGCAGTGTATAGTTTGAATTTTTTTTTGTTTCAGAGTTGAAATGAGCATCTAGATCATGGCCATGAAATACTTGTGATAAATTATTTAAATATGCATGGTTGGGCCGAGGTAGACACCCTCACGGTGGGGTGTGGAAGGTTCAGTCACACCCCCGAGCAGGGCCCCCCCATGCTGTGCCTGGGTTTCTGGGCTATTTTAAATGGGAGATCCCATTGCCTCCTGTTGCCTTGCTCTTTCCTGGACCGCAGCAGGACCTGGGTTTGGGACTACGTGGGAGGGTTTTCTGCCCTTCTGCAGCTCCAACCCAACAACTCTGAGTTTTTTGTGGAACTGAGTCAGGTGGGTGAAAGGAATTCTGTTTATACCTTCTAGTTAGCTGCGAATTCACTATTTTCCCCCTCTAACCAGCCTGCATGATATCCTTAACAACCTGAGATCAAAATACACCAAGCAGATACAGCAGTTTCAGGAAGAGAATCAGTCTCTGACTGCAGATTACAAACGTCTCATGATGCAGTTCAAGGAGCTCCAGAAATCCATGAGGTATTTTAGGGACTTGGGTCCTAGGCTAGAGGTGGGTGACATGGGTGGGAGAGAGAGTTGAGAGTGGCCTAGTGGCCATGGGGTTTATTAGGCTCCATCCCACCAGCTTCTTTAGAGTTTGCCCAAGGCATGAAGAATCTTCTCTTTCCTTCTCTCTCTCTTCTCGGGTGTCTTCTTGCTTTTTCTGGCCTATTGTTGGGATGGCTTCTGTTTCCTCAAGGCAGGGATTTGGCCAGGTCCTGGATTTACCATGGTTCTTCCTCTTGCTCTGCTGCTCACTGAGTGGACCGTGGCTAGGCCTTGCGGTCAGCTGGCCACTCTCAGTGACTCTCCTTCACAGGCATTTTGCTCTCATTGACAACGAGAAGTTTCGGGAGATTTGGCTGATGAATGAAGAGGAGGCGAAGGGACTCATAGCCAAAGCCTTCGATGTGGACAGGATCATCCACACCCAGCATCTGGGGCTCCCCTGGACAGCACCCAACTTCTGGTTCCTGAACAATGTGGGGCCCATTTCCCAGCAGCCGCAGAAGTCTGCCACCCAGATAGTAGAGGAGGTGCTGAGGCAAACAGGTGACCAGAGCCAAGTCCCAGAGTGGAGGGGCCGCCTTCCACTTACAGCTAAGAAGAGTCTGGGAGAGTGTCGAGTGTGAGCAGCAGATATCACACCCCCCCCTTGTATTCTACACCTGTCGTGAGACTTAGAAGCCCAATCAGATGCAAGTTAATTTATTGTTGCTAAGTACACTCTTATGTATCCTTATCACAGCAGACTAATGTCAGTTCCTTTCTTTTTGGAATGGTAGCAAGTATTGATACTCATTTTTAAAGAACCATTAATGAAATTGGGGTTGCAAAGTTGTGATGCTTAAAATTCTATCACTATGTCTTCATTTGTTAACTAGAACATTTCTGAAAAGAGACTCTTCCCCTCATCAGCCATTTGCTACCCTGAGAGATGGTTTGTGTAGAAAGCGGGATAGATGTTTGTTTTCTTTACCACTTTTCAGAATAATGGATTGGATCTCTAGCACCTTCCAAAGGTATCAGTGAGTTGTTGTTTTAATTGTTATTATCATCATGACCATATGAATCGAAACAAACTTTAAGGTTTCGGTTTACCGCGGTCCTGTGCATACTGATAGTCCCATTGGTGACCAGTGGAGCCACTTCATGTTGGTGTCTGGGTCCCTTTGACACAGACCCAGTCATCTTTGGTAGCCTCCAGCTGTCCAGAACAAGCAGATGTTCCAGGACCACATTATACTTTCCCGCCTCAAGTCTGGAATCAGCCATTTCTCCAAGGATTTTGGTTCTTTTAAATAGGAAGTGGGATTTTGGATTCACACTCGGTGCCAGGAGCTCATTGCTTTGGACTGGCTGTTGTTTCTAGGTCTTTTCAGTGGACAGAGCAAGGGTAGAGGATTATTTTTTAATGATCAAATAAATAATGAATTCATCCTAATATTTCCTGATTAACAGGATCCAGGAGCTTTACTCAATCTTACTAAAGGATGCCTTCTTCCTCCCAACTTGAAAATGTCATACCAACGACTCCAAAATAATTGCTTTCCCCATAGCACCACAGAACAGTCTTAGAAGAAAATATCTACCAACAAGTGATTGCTAAACATAGTTTATATCTTTTTGAATTTTTTTGTTGTTGTTCTTTTCTTTTTGTTCTTAAAACATATCCCACTCCAGATTTGTAGATGGGTAACTGTACTTTATAGCCACTTGCAATAGTTTCTGCCTGGTTTATGTTACCACTTGTATATACATTTAGGTTTCTTGTTTCATTTTACTTTTGGTCACTGGGGATCACTTTTTACTTAGTTTTGTTTTTTACTTATGTGAAATGTTTATGTTTGCAGAGTAAAATATAAAAATCAAGGTATATGCAAAGAAGTTTATCTTTTATTTAATCTCTTAACTCTTTCATCCCTCTCCTATAGGTAACTATGAAATAATTATAGCTTATCCTTCCTTTGCTTTTAAAAATTATAAACAAATATATATATGTGTGTGTGTGTGCCTGTGTGTGTGTATGAGCCAATTTTTTAGGTAAGTGAAATGATACTTTTTTCTACTTTTCTTTATTCACTTACAATATTCCTAGAGATCATTTTATTGGAGTAAAAAGAAATACTTGTTATTCTTTTTTCATATAGAACTCTACCACATGTCTGTGCCATAATTTATTCAAATGGTCCTCTGTAGATCATTGTTGGGATTTTTAAAAAAATTTCGTTTTTGTGATTATAAACATTGTTCATTTGCCTTCTCATATTTGTGCTACTGAATTGTTGGGATTGATGGGTAGAAGCAGGATTGCTGGATCAAAGGGCAAATGTCTGTGTCATTTTGTTGGCTATTGTTGCACTGAGATGATACAATTTTGCATTCCCACCATCAATTTGTTTTTTTTGGTATGGGGGATTGAACTTGGGACTTTGTATTTTTGAGGCAGATGGTGGCACCACTGAGCTAAATCCCTGGCCCCACCATCAATTTGATATCTTGTACTTTTCATAGACACTTTTCTTTCCTTTTGAATAACCAGTAATGCATAATGATTTTTATTTTATCTCAGTACATAATGATTTTTATTCCTGTTCTCTGATGAGGAATATGCAAGATAAAACATTTTAAAATTTTTATATTTTAATTAAGAAAAAGTTTGGCTCTTGCTGTCAGATGTCAGTTTTTGCTGGTAACATCCCTTTATGTGGTAGTCACTTCTACCCTTTCTAGTGGGCTGCTTCTAGTCTCTGCAGGTTTAGAAACATGTAGCATGCTTGTTAGATTGTCTCCAAAGTAAGAGTGAAGAGACTCACACTGCCCCTCCCAGTTCCTGGTTCATGGGGATTTTGAGTGTGGTCTCCAGACAGATGCAGTTTGGGAAAGCGAGGTGTTAGGCTGACTGGGAACGACTGATTCCCAGGATCCTCTGATTCTGGCCCCTCAGCCCTTGTCCTCCACGTAATAAGCTTCCTTCAGCAGACAGAGTGTGATTGGTAAATGCTCTCTTGGCTTCTTAAAGCCCCTCTGAGGCCATCTGATGATTGCTCAAAATCACCAAGGCCAAGAATTTACCTTGTTTTTCTTTCTTTCCGTCTTCTCCCTCCATGACCTATCTGCAGAAGAGGCTTCCTCACATCCAGAGTCGTACCTGGACCTGCCCAAGCAAATTTCAGCAAAAACTACCAAAAAGATCCTGATGCTTCTGTGTGATGAGTCGGTGAGGCGCTTGGGATGTTTCTGAGGTTTCCGCTGGCCTGATGGGGCCCAAGTCAGGAGTGACACCCTGCACACCCCGGGAGGGGCCTGAGGGGGCAGCGGGGTGCCTGCACATGGGGGGCAGGCCACAGGGTGCCTGTGCCTCTGAGTGGCCCGGCTGGCAATGGCTCTTCCCCTAGTGGCACAGCCCCCAGAGGCCTGGTCCAGGCGAGCCAGTGGTTCCTGATGACCGGACCTAAAGTTCCCTCTGCTCTTGTCTCATCCTTACCTGACAGCTGCTGTGGCCTTTCTCTGGGGGCTCAATGTGAGGTTCTCCTCGATATGTTAGGTGTTTTAAATCTGCCTTGTGTGTTGGCAAAAAGGATTAGGCCAGGTGTGGTGGCACAGGCCTGTAATCCTGGCTAGTCAGGAGGCTGAGGCAGGAGGATTGCAAATTTGAGGCGAACTTGGGCAATTTAGCGAGACCCTACATGAAAATAAAAAATAAAAAGGCTAGGGGATTGCTTGACACTCCTTGGGTTCAATCCCCAGTACCACAAAGAGGAAAAAAAGCACAAAGGATTAAACTTAGAAAATTAAATGTTGTATTGGCACTGTTTTTGCTGGAGCTTGGGTGGTTACCAAACACAGTCAGTGTTTATTTAGGTGTCACAGTTCTGCAGGGGATGAGGAGCCTCTGAGCCCTTGCGACAGTCGTGGCAGTCTTCTTTGCTGCAAAGGCTGGCCCATGGAGGGTGGCAGGCCCTCCCTCTGTTTGCAAGCTTGATGGCAGTGGCCGCCTCCCCAGCTCAGGGCAGGCCTCGTCTTCGAGGGCCCTTCCCCATGTCAGCTGTGCACTGTGTCCTGACATGGTGCATGCCCCATGCCATGGTCTCCACTCAGGGCCTCCTGCTGGGTTCTGTAGCTATCTGGGGACGTGATGAAGTGGGCACCCACGGCTAGGTCTGGGTTGGACCGCTGTGGAGACTGCTGTTTGCCCCATGGCTGTGGGCAAGGTACAGACTGGCTTTGTTGCTGGCCTTGATCACTGGACGACTGGCTCTTAGGCATCCCCGGGGGGTCCTTCCTCTGGGGCCAAAGTTTCACCTAGGGGTTCTGCTCTGTGGCGTTGTCCCTGGAGAGTCACACAGGGGTGGCTGCAGACCCTCCGCCTTGTTCCTGGAGCCTGTCTCTAATTGAAGATGCCTTCTTCCTTCGCCTCAGGGTTTCCTCATAGAGAGCAAGTTGCTGAGCCTCCTCCTTCCACTGGAGAAGACCGAGTGCTATCTGCTGAGGTTGGACGCCATCTTCTCAGTGAGTCCCACTGGGCCGAGAGGACGTGGGGCTGGGGCGGGAGGATGAAGCCTGTCTCTGTCTTCCTGATCGCCTCAGCTCTGACAGTAGGTGGTGATCTGGAACTTTCCTGGGCTCACCATCGGGGCCTTCCTTAACTTGCTCTCAAAAAAGAAACTGTCCTTAGCATCACTTAGATGTTTCCCATCTGTGACCCTTCCTCTCTGGCTTCTCTCTCTCATGGCCAGGCCCTCAGGTTGTAAGTTCTCCTTGACACCCCTAACTCAGATATTGCATGTGTTTGAACCCTCCCTCCAGCACTCTCAAGCTCACAGATCTGTGTGGGGCTGCTCCGGACTCCGAGCTTCGCTTGTCTCTGTTCTGATGACCCCAGTTTCACTGTGGCTTCCAAGCGCTGAGCCAGTGCCTCTGAGCTGTGGCAGGCTCCAGGAAGGCCTAAGCTCTGGGGAGCTGAGACCCTCCAGCCCCCGAGTCTGGCCTCTCTGCCTGCCTGAACAGCCATCTTGCTTTTCCCAGGCCCTTGGAATCGAAAGTGAGGATGACTTGTACAAACTGGTGAACTTCTTCCTCAAATACCAAGCCCACCACGGATCCCCCAGCCAGGTGAAGTAAAGTGCAAAGCGTGTTTTCAGTTCTCCTGGAAGCCCCCAGAGGGCATTGCTGCTGTTGAGTAATCCTGGAGAAGGTGGGGGGAAGCTGTTATGTCAGGGCGAGCTGACAGATTTTCCTTTACTATTTCTATTTGGGAAGCGGAGAATGGTGGGGGTTGGGGGTGTGTGAGGCTCTGTTCTCCTAGTGAAGCCCAAGGGGTCTTTTCCTGGGCCCTCAGGTATTGTGAGACCTGGGCCCTCCATGTTCTGTGAACTTTGATTCTTAACACTTTCTGAAAAGTACAGCTCATTTGTATGACTGGACTTATCTTTCTTGTAACTGATTTCAGTAAGAAAATCAAATAGCAACTGTTCTGAAGAAGCCATCATATTAAAAATTATAACATCTTAATTTTAAAATTAAAAATTTGAATTAAAAAATGTTTTTACTGTTTCTAACCCCCAGAGGCGAGTGTCCTGATAGGGCCTCCAAAAGGGTTGGCTGAATGAACAAAACTGAGAATCCGTAAGGAAAAGGAAAGATACCTCTGAGTACATTAAAACAAATTCTTAGGGCAAAAGTCACTACCAGCAAAGTTAAAAGAGAAATAATAGCTGGGGAAAAATATTTTCAACTCATATCACAGTTAAGGGCCAGTTTCCCTAAAATACAGAAGAGCTCTCAAAAACCAATAAGAGAAAGACCAGCAGCTCAGTAGATCAGACAGTAGCCTGGAGGGAAAACCTCCTAGAAGAGATAGCATGGGTAACTTTAAAAGCATATGAAAAGGTAATTAGACTTCCTTGTAATGTGAGACATGCAAATTAAAACTGCCCGAATTCCAGTTTTACCCTCGAGTTGGTAGAAATCTAAACTTTTGATAACACATAGCATCGTCACCTCCAAGTAAGGACACTTCACCAGTATGAATTACAAAACAGTATATGCTTCATTGTTCTAGGATTTTATTCTATAGATGAATCTCAGTATAATTGAAATGATGTGTTTTTTGAAGCTTTTTAAACAGAAGATTGGAAACAACCTAATTGTCTACCATTAAGGAATTTATTTAATAATAAATGATGCTTTTAAACTTGGACACTGTGGAATAATATGTGGTTGTAAAAACAAAAAAGAAGGTTCTTTGTGTATTTATATGCAAAATCTGTAAGGGGGGGAAGTGCACGCCTGCATTGTAGAGTAGTACCATTTAGTTAACAATGGGAAGGAAAAGTCTTTCTGTATGTATTTCTATACATATTTGCTGATAACAGACACGATTTCTTTGGAAGAATATATAGGAAACTTGATCACATTAGTTTACCTGGGGGAGGTAAACGGAATACATTGGGAAACAGAAGACTTTTAAAATTTAAAAATCAAAACAAAGTTTAGTTGGTATTATGAGTGAAAAGGATATTTACAGCTGGTAAGCTTCGTGACAAGGTATCAGTCCGGTGAACACCTGCCACCCAGGTTTAGAACATTGTTGTTGTTCCCAACACCCACTCCTCCCCAGCCACTTCTTTTTTCTGTTTTGTCCTGGTGTAAATGTCTCCCTCTGCAAGTTCTCTGGAACTTTCTGTAAACTTTGTTTCCTTCTCTTCCTGTCTTTTCTTCACACACTCATGCTCGGTAACCCCTGCGAGGTTACCCTTGTACCTCTCTCCAGGTGAACCCCAGGGATGGAGCAGGAACGGAGCAGTCGAGCCTCGTGTCAGGGGTGGAGAGACTGAGCATGAGGACAGCAGTGGAGCAGAGCAGCCTCTCATCTGCCGTCCCAAGAGCCAGCCTGGCGCCTGGGTCGCAGCCAGCAGAGGAGACCTGGCTGGAGGAAGGAGATGGCGGGGAGCAGGAGGAGCAGGCAGCCCCAGCTTCTCCCAGGCTCATCCACCCCAATGACGTCCTCAAGGTTCTGGAGGCCTTCATCACGGGTCTGAGGAAACCCAGGTATGCCGTGGGGCTGGAGGGCTTGCCTGAGCCTGGGGCTGGGGGCAGAGGGCTGGAGCCACCCAGTGAGTGGAGAAGAGGGGGTTGGGCACAACTTTGGGAAACTGAGGGACATAGTCATGAAAGGAAGGAGGTGTAGGAGTGATTTGCACCTTTTTTGTTCATCATTCAATCAGCAAATGTTTATTGGGGTCTGCCGTGTGTAGGCACCGTGAAGAGAGCACCTTGTGATCAGAACAGTGGTGGAAGCCTGCGTGAGGTGTAATGTCCTAACAGGATGCGAAGGAAGTGCCGCCTCCGTTTGGCTCTCGGCAAGGGTATAGGGAGGACATGGCCCAGGAATTGTATGTTCTTAGGTGGGAAGGGGCCTTTCCAGACATGAGCGCAGGGAATTTCTTGACAGGAAGGATGGCCTCATGTCATGGGTCTAGGAGGTAGGACCCATGGGCGGGGACCAGGTCAGAGCTTGGAGACTCTGCCCTGTCTGCCTGTGGTCTTGGTCTTTGTCTTTGCCCTCCTGGCTGGAGCCAGGGGAGGATTTTCAAGGGAGGAGGAACCATGATCTAACGTGCATTTTAGAAGAAGCCCTTTGAGGGCAGGGAGGGGAGCAGCGCTGGCTACAAGGAGAGCAAGCAAGAGGCTTGTCAGGTGGGAGGGTTAAGGGCATCATAGAGTGGATGGGGAGAAGGTGAGAAAATTCGGCAGCTGCTTTGGAAGTTCTCAGGAAGAAAGGGAAGTGATAATGAGCTGTTGAGCCATCAAGGTTGTGGAGGAGACTCCAACAGTGTGTTACAAAGGCGACAGGTGGCCTGAGAGGAACAGGGACAATCAAGGCAAGCTTTCGGAGCATCTGCCACGATCTAATGGATAGCCTCGGACAGCTGAGTGGGAATTTGGCAGGCGGAGAGCCAGTAAGTCTCTGACCTGAAGGCCGAGACCGGCACCATCTGGGGACCCGGGGTGTCAGGTGGAGATCGTGACCAGTGCTCTTGTCCTTCAGGAACTTCCGGGCACCGCTGACAGTGGGGGAGGATGTGCGAGATGACTCGAAGGACTCCGAGTACTGGGAGGCCCTGAGCACGGTCCTCCCTCCTGCCAGGCAGAACCTGTGGGACGCGCTCTACGCAGCCCTGGAGCGATACAAGTGAGCGTGTGGCGCAGGAGCGTGTGGCGCTGCACCTTCCCCTTCCCCTTCCTGTGCAGGCCTGGCGGCAGAGCTGCCTTGTTGGGTGGGTGGACAGTGCCTTCCTCACCCTGCTCCTGCTGGCCTGAGGGGAAGGCGAAGCTTCCAGGGTCTTCCTCCACCCCAGCTACCTGGTGGTTGTTGGGTTGGCCTCTAACCCGTTTTCCCACCCAAAGCCTCGTCCTGACCCAGCGGGCCAAGCTGCTGGTGGAAAACGAGTCCCTGGAGCAGCAGAACACCGAGCTGCAGTCTCTCCTGAAGCAGCATCTCCACTCCAAGGTGGGCAGCACGGCACATGGGGCTGCGGCTGCCTGCGGCCTCAGAGCCCCTTCCACGAGGGTGGAGATGGGGTGCAGAACCGACATCTCCCCTCAGGTGGGGACAGTCACTGGCAGGGCAAGGTCGCTGCCTGAAGTTCCTTCCAAGGCAGCTGGGCTGTGGCCCTGTCCCTGTGACGCCCAGGGTTTTGGTACCACTCCTGTTGAGACCTGTTTGTATTTTCTTCCCCGATCGGAACAAGCCCTGTGCGAGGGAGATAGGCAGAGACTGTTCTCCCTATTTCGTGCGAAGGAGAAGCAGAACTCAGAGACCCAGTGGTGAGGCCTGCCAGCCAGCTTCCTTGGCCTGATGTGTCCAGCGTTGTCCCTGTGCAGGGCGAATACACCCTGACCTCCTCTGGTGCCTCCTCCAGCCATAGTTGTGGCACTTTCCCCACGGCCAGGCCGGAGGAGGAAGGAAGTCCTTCGATGACAGCTGTGTGCTCTCCTTGGCTGGTATGGGATCCTGCACTCGTGCTGGGCTCATAGCTGGGAAGAGCACACACGCACGACACAGTCACAGCTGCACGTGGGTGAGGTGCCTGAGACCAGCCACCTGAGGCTGCTCTCAGCCCAAGCTACACAGGAAGTGCTGGGTTGGCACCAGAAGGAAGGCAGGTAGGTTTCAGGCTCCAGAGTTGCCATTTGGCTTTGGAGAGGAAAAGCTTGCAGGGGTTCAGAAGCTGTGGGAGAGCTGCATATGCATTTGACTCTCCCAGGGGACAAGAGGAAGAGGGCCCAGGGGGCAGGAAGTAACCTTCACTCTTTCTTTTCCAGATAAACTCTGAACTGCAAGTTCCTCCGACTCAGGTGTTCCGAGTGCCCACATAATAGAGGCGGACCTGCACCTGCAGGGGCTGATGTGCATGGGCTGGTGCTGGGCGGGAGCCAGGGTTTTCCAGAGCTGGCCTTGTGGGCTTGTTGAAAGAAGGCAGCCAGAGGAGTTGCCTGTCTCCGGTAGTCCCCATTAAAGTCTTCTGGAAGCTTGGCAGAGTCTCTTTAAGGAGGCCGGGTCTGGTGACATGGGAGCCCCTGCCCCTACCTGTGTACCTCGAGAGACCTTGTGCCTGGGCTCGTTGTGGTGTGTGACAGAGGCAGAGGCCAGTGGCTTGGGGCTCCCGCCTTGTTTCTGGGGCAGCTGGTTGCTTTGGTTGGAGGCTAGAGCTCTGGGGCTTACGTAGTCTTCGGCGTCAGGTTGTCCCCTGGCCTGAAAAATGTTCTCCAGTGGTTTTGGGGCCCCTGCATGGATCGGGGGTTCCCTCTGGACAGTGGGGCTGCTTCCCCTGCAGGCAGCCTGTGCTTGAGGCCGCCTTGAATCCTGGGCCACCCCCAAGGGAAAGGCTTGTCAACCCGGAGTGCCTGCTGACCCTGCACCCCACACTGGCAGCTCCCTCTCACAGGACCAGCACAGACTTGTCAGCTCAGTATTTGATTTATTTTATAAGAGAGAAAAAACCACACTCAAGCAAGGAAAAACAGCCAACAGGAGCCCAGCTGCAGGCAGAGGGCAGCCTTCTAGTGCAAGGCAATGGTGGTGGGGCCGGCAGGGCTCAGCATTTGATGGAAAGTTGCGTCTGGGCTTGTGGGGACCGGCCCAAGCAGAGCAAGCCCTGGGACGTGGCAGAAACCCCTGGGCAGGGTGGGGACTGCAGCGTGCACCTGCCATCATGTGGCTTCGGGGAAGGAGGACCGGGAAGTGCCTGGGCAGAGCAGCTGGCTGCCTGCGGGTGGGTGGGGAGGCGCTGGCTCAGTGCTGCAGAGCCCAGGGTGCGTGCTTGGGCTCTGCTCGCAAGACTGCCTTGCAGCCCAGTGGGAATCCTTTTGCTTCATTCTTCCAAAGCCCTGGACACTGGCCCTTGTGCCTTGGTTAATTTCTTTCATGAAAGCTTTATTCCCAGTCTGGAAAGCCCGAGGGGAGGGCAGGGCTTGAAGGGGGGTGGTGCCTCAGGAGGGTGTGGGGGACTCGGGTCCCCAGCCCACAGGCAAGACCAGAGGGGCAGGACCGGGCAGGCAGCGAGGGAGGGCAAAGCTGCAGGCCCTGGAGAGGTGGGAGGGAGCAAGGAGCCCTCACGCGCCCAGGAGCTTCTTGACCATGTAGCCGGGAAGGCTGTAGAGGAACAGGCCCAGCATGAGCAGCCCCAGCAATGCCAGCACGACCTTGATGATGAGCCACTTGTACCGGGTGCAGATGAGGTACTTGATGGACTTGAGTGGGTTCAGGAACCAGACGAAGGCGGTGTCGGGCCGGCTGGGGATGCAGAGGAGGGAGGCACTGGTCACAGCTGCCCCAGCACCCGTCCTCCGTCCTCCATCTGTCCAGTCCCTGAGGGCCCTGTTAGACTCAGCCCCCGGAGCAGTGAGTGCTGGGGCCTGGGTCCAGCCTGTTTCTAAGCTGCAGAGTCAACGCCCGTAAAGCCCTGTCCTCTCTGTGGGCCTCTGGTGCCCCGGAGCCGCCAAGGCCTGGATGGCACTTTTGGCGGGGGGGGGGGGTGGCTGCCCAGCCCCAACCTGAATACTTACAGCGTGGGGTGGTTCACTGGCTGGCACAGAGCCGTTCTGATGGCCAGCGAGCCCCTGCACAGAGCCGGTCAGCACCCCCCATGCTCCACTCCCCCTTCCTGTCCCTGCTGGGCCCTGCCCAGGGTCTAGGCAGCTCTGGGGGACAGCAGCCCTCACCGCTCTGCCACCCCAGGGTATGGGCCTGGGTATCGGCTTCCCAGCAGAGGGCCTTGCTTGCCCTCTGCGCTTTGTGTCACATGAACAGCAGGTTTATACGGCAGCCACATATAAAATGCAAGTATTGAAGGTGCTTTTTCCAACTGCTGCCACCCCCAGGGGCCAGAGGACCTGGAGCCCGAGTTCAGTATCAGTGGGGCCATGAGGCGTGGCTGGGGCTCTGATCTGTCCCTGGGGCGGGAGCAGCTCCGAACAGGAGGCCCCTGGAGGGAGCAATGATTTCAGGGCGTCCTGGCTGAGCCCAGCCACCATCACCCCTTCCCTGTCCACAGCTGAACTTCTAATACTGGGTTGGAGCTGGTGAGTGGTGAGGCTGGGTGGGAGACGGGAGTCCCTGCTCTGGGCCTCCGCTCGGGAGGCCGTGGGTGAGCCCTTCACCCCTCACGCCCACTGAGCACAGAAGCCCGTTCTTGCTCCGAGAGTCTGTGCGTCTGTTTTGAGAGCCTGAAAATCGCTGTATATGTTTGCACGGGCCTGTGTGTGCGCATGCATGTGCATGTGTGTGCTTATGCGCACATGTGGCTTCCACATGCGCTCGTGTGTGTGTCTTTGTGTGCGTGTGCGTGTGTTCCACAGGACAGCTGGCCTATGGGCCACAGGCAGGAGGGGAGTACCAGACCCCGGCACAGGAGGGCTCAGGCCCTGACAATCTTCTTGGCCAGGTAGCCAGGCACAGAGTAGAGAAAGAGGGCGAGCAGGAGGAACAGCAGCAGGAGCAGCAGCAGCTTGAGGAGCAGCCAGCGGTAGGTGTGCCACAGGAAGTAGCGAGCAGACTTGAGAGGGCTCAAGAACCAGATGAAGCTTGTGTCGGGCCGGCTGAAACATGGGGAGGAGCAGAGGGAGCACAGAGGAAGGGCAGGGGATGGGGCCGGGCATGGTGGGGGCTGAGTGTGCGCAGTTCAGGGGCCCCCGGGCCCTCAAGGCTGCCTGGGCGCCAGTGCTGCCTGGGAGCTGCATGCCTTTGGCCAAAGCTGGGAAGACCCTGCATCTCCGCTGGCTGGGCCTTTCTTGTGCCGTGTCCCTGTTCGGATGGGTCGTTCTCCGGGAGAGGGAGGTGACGGGGCTCAGAGAGGAAGGGAGGGGCAGAGAGCGTGCCTGGGGAGCAGGGGCAAGAGAGCCTCCTTCCTGTTCTGGCCCCAAGAACCACATGGCTGGGGCTCCAGGCAGGCTCAGAACTCACTTGGGTTTCTCTAGGGGGTCAGGTTCACTGCGGGCCAGGCCCACTGGATTCTTCTCCGCCTCCTCTGCTGTCAGCAAGTGCAGCTCAGCTTCCACCTTGCCCTGCAGGGGAGCACAGACTGGCCTCAGGTGCCAGGCCCTCCCTCGGTACCCCAGCCTGGCCCAGCCTCGCCCACTCCTGCGCAGGACTGCCCACCGTGAGCTCGAACTCGTCGTTCTCATTGCGGGCCAGGAGGGGCCACCAGCCTTTGACGCGCTTCTGCTTGAAGATGGAGACCAGTGGCACATCCACCTCCCCGGTGGCCATCTCCATGCTGCACTGCTTGGCTGTCTTCGCGCCCCGGGGGAACCGGTTCAGGTCCAGCTCGATGGCCCCTGTGGCGACCCCACAGTCAGCTCTGGGCGAGGGTGGCAGGGCCCCGGCCTCCTTGGCACCTCACTGGCCGAGTGTGGCCTGTCCACACCTCCACCTCTTTCCCCTCCACCCCTACCCCTGCTGGGCTCCTCTTGTCCCTGTCCTGCTGGTCTCAGACTTCTGGGGAAAGATCAGTGCTTCACACGGGAGCTGGCTGAGGCTGGGAAGTCTCCCTAGGAAGCTTACTGGCCCCTCCCTTTCTGCTCCAGATATGGAAAGGGGGCTCTAGGGGCAGCTGGCCCTGCAGGGCACTGGCTCTGAAGGACTGGTGGGGTTGACCTCCCGCATCTCCAAGGCCAGCCCCCAGTCCTGCCCTCCCTCCTGGACCCAGCCCCTGCCCCCTCTGCACCCAGGAAGTCGTCGGCGGAGAAGTGGTCTGCATCCCAGATCTGCAGGGTGAGGCGCGCGGGGATTTTGTACTCCGTCTCGTCCCACGAGAACATGGACTCTTTCTTGGAGATGACGATCTTCTCCTCGGCCGCCAGGTAGTCGAAGGGGAACAGGTAGCGCCAGTTGAAGTTGCCCTCCCCAGTGAGGGAGTGGTAATGCACGTCCGTGTCCTGCTTGTCCTCCTGCTGGCCCTTCAGCCACCTGCTGGGCGCCACTCGCTCAGACCCGGCCACACCGCGGCCTCTGCCCGCCCTGGGCCTCCCGGCGGGAGCCCTCACCCACCCCCGCACGAAAATGTCGCTGGACTTCTCCCCGGTGAAGAAGTCGTCGTCCTCCAGGACCACCTCGTCTGTGTTCCACACGATGACCCGTAGCTCATACCTGGGGGGTCAAGAGGACCAATTAGCGCCTGGGGTGGGGGTTTCCCGGGGTGCGGGGCTGGGACAGGGCAGGGGCCTGGCATGCGGGGTTGGCAGGAGCTTGTCCCGGCCGGGCATGGGCGGCCCTGCTCCCGGGAGAGCTGGCCACGCTGGAGCGGAGCCCGGAGCGCCTGCTGCAGGGAGAGGCCAGGGCCAGGAGGGCGGGAGAGGCAGCCTGGCCTGTCCTCTCCATTTACACTTCAGGCCAGGGCCCTGCGACGAAAACCTATGGGCTCCGGTCTCCTTTATGTCCTTGTCCCCAAAGAGGATTTTCCCCTGAGAATTTAATTACACACGGGGCAGGAGGGAGGTCGAGTCATCCATGAATTTGGTGGGGATGTAGCTCTGTGGGCCTGGAGGACAGGGCAGGGTGACCTGTGGGGTTGGGATGCCCCCTTGTGGAAAGCCCAGGAACAGCAGCTATTCCAGGCAGAGCGGGCTGGGCAATTTCCTCCGGAGTACGAAGGGAAATTAGGGTCCTTGGTTAAAACATCATCAAGAAATTCAGGATGCCAGTGCTAGGGTATGAAACAAGAATAGGATCCCCTGAGCAGGGGTCCTGGATGGCTTCGTGAGCCCAGGAAGCTGGCCCTGAGTCCAGGCACAGGGTGGGAGGGTGTCAGACAGGACCGACAGAGACTCCGTCCTGCCACCCTGCGGAGGGGAAAACGGAACCAGGGAGACAAAGTGGCCCGGCGAGGCTCAACCCGCGGAGGCTGCGACTGGGCCCCCGACACGGAGCTCCTTCCAGTCCCCCTCCTCCAGGCTCTGTCCCCCCAGGCACCTAAGAAAATCCGCAGAACCTAAGGCCGGGATGAGAGAAGGTCCTCCGGGGCCGGCCCTGTGTGAGTGTGAGTGTGCGCGTGCAGGCACGCGTGTGCGCGCGCGAACGTGTGGGAGCAGGAGCGTGCCTACGTGCGGGTGCGTCCTCGTGCTGGGGTGGGGCTCCCATCCCCCAGTGAGGCAGAGATGAGGGTGGACCCCCTCTGCACAGGGGCCCGCGCCAGGGCAGGCCCCAAACTCACAGGTCCATCTGTTTCTCCCCCAGGAGACCCGGGCACACCTGAGACCCCGGCCCGGTGACTGAGCAGGGCCATCTGGGCCCCTGCGCCCTATAGGAAGGCGAGGCTGGGGGGCTGGGGGGCTGGGGGGGGCGGGGGGAGCGGCGCTGGCCTCGGGCAGCTCACTTCTTGGGCTTCCGGGGGGAGATGTCCAGCGGTGTCCCGGGGGCCGGCATGTCCATGGGAAACATGTCCACCCACAGCTCCAGGCGGCCCTGAGGAGAAGGGTATGACATGTCCCCAGGACTTCTCCCTCTGTCCCAGAAGATCAGCTCTCCTCATCCTTCCGATCCATGTTCTGTCAAGGACCCATGCCATCAATTTCCATCTTTGGATGCCAGAAATTTCTATGATGTCACCGACAGCCAATCACAGCTTCTGAGGGCGACAGCCCAGGTCTCCACTGGCTGATGTAACTCTCAGAGCAGAGACACTTGTCCCTCAAGTCGGCCTTGTGGGGAGATGCCGCCGGGGTTTGGGGAGGGCAGCAGGGACCCCAGGGATAGTGTGAAGCCCCCTTTCTGGCTCTGTGGAGCCCAGGCTGCGAATCTGTGATCCCATATACCCAGGAATCCCAGCCGGGCAAGTGTCACCTGCTCGATGCCTGGCTTGTCAGGGTTGAGCAGCGGCCGGGTCTCAACGTGCTCTGGCACCAGGCGGCAGCCCACGCGGGGGATGTCCTCCCAGTGCCTCAGGGCAGACAGGGCCACGTGCTCGTCAGTGGGCTTCCTCTGACCTGGGGGTGCCAGTGGGTCAGCAGTGCACGCGGATTCCCCGGAAGCAAGAGGCCTATGCTGGGGTCAGGGACTCAGAGACACAAAGCCCCGGGCCGTCACCTATCTGCCCACCTTCATTTGACCACTGGGGAAACTGAGGTACAGAGGAGGAGTGGCTTGCCAAGGAAGGTCTCGGCTGTCCTTCAGGGCCCAGAGAGGCCTGTGCCCTTGGCTTCCCTGGTTAAGGAAGCTGAGCTGAGACACCTGCGTCATTTCCCCAGGGAAGATGTGGGCCCAAGCGGCCCAGCTGAGAGCCCTCTACGCCACTGGAAGCGCTTCATGGGGAAAGGAGTGTGGTGTGTACTGTGTTTGGAGCCGGAAGGACCTGGGCCAGGCTTCTAAAGCCACGATGCCTCAGCGAGTCACTGAACTCACTCAGTCTCAGTTTGCTCATTTGCAAAATGGGGCAACCCCTATGCCCCCTGCGGAGGAAGGGGGAGAGAGGGGGCAAAGCAGGGGTGAAGGGCAGAGGCTGGCTGGGGTGAGGAGCAGAGGGTCTCCAAGCGCAGGCCCCGCCAGGCCGCGAGGCAGCTTTGGCCCTCCTCGCCCGAGTCCCTGCAGAGGCCCGGGTGGCTCGGCCAGCGCCCTTACCATTCTCGTCCTCGATCTCCGAGGGCCCCGTGAAGACGCGGTTGGCCACCTTCACTCTCCCGGGGGGCCCGAAGTGGGGCCCGTCCACCTTGCCCACTTTGCAGAGGCGCGTGAGGATCTGGCTGGGCTTCGCGGGGTCCCTCCAGACATTGTAGCCGTGTCTGCGGGAGGCAGCACACAGTGGAGCGGGTTCTCCCGGGCTCGGTGGAACCATTGCCCTCAGTGTCTCCCAACCACTCCCGTGACCCCGAAGATTCCCATGAGGAAACCGACAACAGAGGCTAAGGGACTTGGCCAGGGTCATACAGCCTGGCTCAGACCCCAAGCGGACTCTGCCTGTCCTGCCATCCCCCGCCACCCCTCCGTGTGTCCTGAACTGTGGGCAGTGTGTAGGGGCCGAGACCTGGCCCAGGACAGAAACCATGGGCCCACGTCCCCAAACTGTCACCTCTAAATCTCCTTTTAGGGTCACAGTGCAGAGAGGCATCAGCCAATCCCCCCTTCCGTCCCCCATCCCCCCCACCGGGGCCCCGCCCCGCCCCGCCCCGCCCCGCCCCCAGCGCGGAGCCCCGCCCCTCGCACGTGGAGTAGGTCTGGGCCACGCCGCAGGTGGCGCGGTGTTTGCTGTAGAAGCGGTTCTCCAGGTCGATCTTGGTTTCCCCGATGAGGTCGTCCGTGCCCACCAGGTCCCAGTCGTACACAGCCACCGTGAGCATGGACTCCATGGGGAAGGAGGCCTGGATGTCGAAGGACCTGGCAGGCGGGAGTTAGGTTTTCAGGCGGGGGTGGGGCCGGAAGTGGCCTGGCCGGGAAGTCGGGCCTGCGGGAGGCCACCAGGAGGCCTTACTTCCCAAAGACCGGGTTGAGCTGCTTGGAGATGTAGTTCTCCTTGTCGCGGATGTCGGTCTTGCCTAGCCGGATGGCGATGTAGGGGTCAGCTTTGCCGTTGATGTCAGCAGGGTGTAGATCTGTGGCCTGCGGCGAGGAGGCCTGGGGCTGAGCAGGCCCTGGGGGGCCCTGCCCTCTCCCGGAGGCTCCCGTGGTGGTGAAAGGGCGGGGCAGGAGCACTGGACCGGAACCAGGTCAGGGGATTGCTGTGTGGCCCTACATGAGCTGCTGCCCCTTTCTGGGCCTTGACCTCCTTCTCCAGACCAGATGACTCCTTGGGGGCCTCCCAGCCTGGGACCCAGTTTGGAGCTGCTCCAGTCCCTCTTGGGCAGGACAGGGAGACCGGCCTGGAGGGGACGCAAAGGGAGCCTCACCCGGACCACATACACTCGGACCAGCACATTGATGGAGTCGTTGCTCGGGATGCCCTGGAACATGCCGAAGGTGGGATCGTAGCCGGCTTCCCGGGATATGTCCTCTGGGAGAGGCACTTTGTAGACGCAGAGAGAGCCCTGGGGTGCGGCACGGTGCGTCAGGTGCGGCCTGTCTGGGCACAGGCTGCCACGGGTCTCCACGCCACAGCCGCACGGGAAGGTCTGGGCTCGGCTGTGCGGGGCTTTAACCCTCCAGCTGCTGGGTCAAGGGGAGGCCCGAGGCTCTGGAGGGAGCGGCCGGGCAGTGTTGGGGTGGGGAGAGAGCTGGAGGTGGGCCCGGGCGGGGCTTGCTTCTCCCGACCTTGAACCGGCCCACAGTGCGCTCCTCCTCAGTGGAGCAGTCCTCGCCATCCTGGGTCTTGCCCCGAAGCAGGTTGAACGTGTGCAGCCAGTCCTCAAAGTTGTCAAACTCGGACTCCAGCTCCTTAGGGTACACCTGAGCCACGCAGGTCAGCCCGGGGCCAGCCAGCTGTCCTGGCCCTCTGCTGCCTGCCGGCCCCTCCCCAGCAGCGTCTGCTCCCAGGCCCTCACCTTTAGCTCATCAATCTTGGGTTTCTTCTTCTCAGGGACCTCGGACCCCTGGCCAGGGCCTGGGCTCTGGGCTCGTTTCTTCTTCTCCTCCTTTGTTGCCCTTGCCTTCTCCTTGCCCTTCATCGGCCCCTTCAGGCCTGCATGAAAGCAGACAAGGAGGCCCCAGTCAGCTTCACGGGAGGTGGGCAGCAATGACCAGAGCAGGAAGGCGTGAGTTGGAGACCCAGCTTTGGCACGCATGAACTTTGCTGTTTCCCTTCTCGAGTGTCACGGCACAGACTGCCAAATGCAGACAACACTTGGGCCTGGGAGCGTGCAGTAGGTAGGGAAGAGGCCAGGCCTGGAGCAGATGGCTGTTGCCAAGCAGCCCTGTGGCCGCTCACTTCCCCCTCTAGCTGCGTGTTGTCTGTCCACATTAACGAGCTGCTCTCTGGTAGCATTTTCCACACTGCCTCCAGCAGAAGGCCAGGCAGAGGTGCTGTTGGCATGTTTTAGAAGAGGTACTGTGGTGGAGTACGCTGGGGAAATAGTTTATATAGCATTTTCCAGAAAGATTTCTAAAGAGATTTATACTGATGTGCACACTAAAAGCTCTGAGAAGTCCTGCAACGAAGGGACACATGTAGACCAGCATTCACTGAACTGATCTGACATAGAACTCCCTCTTCTCCCCAGAATGGCCACTAACACAGTTCCATGGGAGAAGATCTGGAAACAGCTGGGCAGGATGAGCTGCGAGGGCCCTGCCAGTTCTGATACCCTGTGGCTTTCAATGTAGGTCCATCGCTGTGGCTGCTGAGCTGGTCAGAGTACAAACCACCCTAGATACGGGCCTTAGCCTGCACCTCAGCTCCCCAGGACTCTCGCGCTGTCTGCCCCAGGCCTTGCAGCTGTGAAGGCTGTGGCAGGGGGCAGGGAGCAGCAGGGGAGAGGCAGGCTGAGAGCGCAGGGCAGGGCTCACCTTCTGTGTTGTCCGCCTCTTCCTTCTCTTCCAAGTCAGCTCCCAAGGTCTCTTGTTGGCGAAGTTGCTGTCAAAAGATGAGAGGAGTTCCCTGCTAAAGGCCTTAGTTTGCCTTTATTGTTACATGGCCCCTAGGTACCTGTGCACATGTCCATTCCGCCCAGTAATGGGGGCTCCGAGGGAGGGCAAGGTCTTTGGGCTCACACAGCGCCGCCTGCGGAGGTGCCTGGCTTCTGGCACAGACTCCAGACGTGATCGTGAAAGAAACAGTGAGGACAAGAGGAGCAGCTCTGGGGGCAGTGGGAGGGGAGCCAGAGAGCGAGCAGGCAGCTGGTGTCCCCTCCTCCGTGTCCCCTCCTCCAGCCACGCCCTGGCCTCACCTCCTTCATGGTGTCGATGGAGGCGAAGTACTTGGACCACCAGTCCAGCATGCTCTCATCCGGCTCCTCCTCCTCGGGCTCTTCTGCGCTGCCCTTTTTCTTCTTCCTTTTCTCCTTCTCCTCCTCGGCCTGAGGGTTAGCCAATCCTCTACAGGCCTGCAGACTCCTTGCTCCCGACCCTTTCCCCGAACCCTAGGAGATCCTGAGGACCCCCACCCACTCTGGACGTCTGGGAAAACCCTGGGCTCTGTGTTGCTCTGTGGGGCCACCCATGTCCAAGGGCCAGGGGTTTGTTTTGGAGAGAAGGATGCCAGGCCCTGTGAAGGCCATCTCCTGCCAACGTGAGCCACTAGGCAAGGCAGGAGTGGCGGCCAGGGGCAAAGGACGCCCAGCCCCTGCAGTTAGGCCCTCTGGCACGATACCCGATGCCCGCTTAAGGTGCTCTCACCCCAGGGCCCTGGAAGAGCCCCACACTCACCACATCCACCGTGACAACAGCATCAGAAGTCTGCAGAGGGGAACCAAGGAGATAGCACAGGGTCAGCCCATGGGAGCCAAAGGGCCAGCCCAGCCCGAGGAGCGTGGAGGAGGAGAATGGATGGCAGCCGAGACGGCGCATGCAGGGATGGAGCTTTGCTGGGTGCCATGAGCCCCACCACTGCAAGGCCAACTTTGCACTAGCGAGAGCATGCTGCCCCTGAGTCTGCCAGGGCCCGCTGTAAGGACGCTTCTGATGTTCCCTCAGGCTCTGGGGCCGTGGGTCTCCGCCCTGGCTGGCTGCAGTTACAGTCATCCGGGGCACCTCAACGAATGACCGGTTCAGGCACCACTGAGACACAGCAGGGTCCTGGGTGTGGCATATTTTAAGTCCTGTGGTGAGTCCCATGAGCAGATGTGGCATACGGCCGGTCAGCCTCCACGCTGCTCTCCCTAACCAGGGCTGCTCCGTGACAGGCAAGCCAGTGCCCACATAGCTGAGTAGTGGAAAGGGACACGTCCTGACTGCCACACATTAGCAGGTCTGTGAGACAAGGTAGCTCAGGCCATTGCCATCCTCTGTCTTAGGCTCCTGATGGCACAAAATGCTGGTCAGGCAGTGGCTTAGGCCAAGGGGGACTCAGAGTCTCCTGATACAGCTGAGCAGTGAGCCTTGCTGGCAGTGCCTCCCAGGGCTGTGGCACCAGGCCTCTGCTCCGCTTTCCTGAGAGACATGGCCAGTGCTAACTGTGGCTGCAGGGCGGTCCCTCTGGGGGTCACAGGGAGCCCCCTTCCAACCCTCAGCAGACGGCACCTCAGGGGACCTGTTTCAGGACAGCCCCATCCTGTCCTCCCTACAGGTCTCCCTCTGGCAGATAAGCAGCCCTAGACCTAATGCCCAGAGGAGTAAAGCGCCTAGAGGAACACGGAAATCCTTCACCCCAGCCTGTGGGGTGTCACTCGGGAAGGGCAGGGCTGGAAAATCAGGGACAGGACCTGGTCCTCTCCCAAGCAGTCCATCCTAGGGCATCATTTGCTGGAGTAAAAGTGACTGCAGACTGTCTCTGTCTACCTATGCATGCGCATGCACACACATGTACACACACATGCCAGGCAAGTATGAGGTGCAGTCTGCTTTGCTGGAAGGGAATTGACTTGGTGCTGTTCTCTTGGGTGGATCGGCCCTGCTTGCTGGCCTGCTTGGGGCTGACCCTTCGCCTTACCGCGTCCAGCTTCACCATGGTCTCCAGTTTCCTGACAGGCACCTCTGGCTCCATGCTCACCACGACCTCCCCTGGGGGGTGAGAGAAAAGACCCCCATTGCACAGCATAGAGCTGCCCCAAAGAAGCCTGACTGGATAGAGAGACAGACAGGAGGACAGAGCGAGGACGAGCAGGAGTAACAGTGGTGAGTCAGGGTGGCAGGGCAGAGCGGGGCCTAAAGCCAATTCCGGGGTTTTCCAAGGAGAAGGGAGTAAAGATGGGTATAAGGAGGGAGACGGGCTTGAGGATGAGCCATCGTGGGGCCAGCAGTGGAGCAGAGGGCAGCGTGTGAGGAGGCGGGGAAAGGCTTGGGGCTGCTCCATCGCCCCCAGCCTTTCCAGCCGCGGCCTCTCTAGCTCCAGAGTGAGGCCACCTGCCTCGGCCCCCAGGATGGGCCTGCCTCCACAGGATGCCCCCAGGAGGAGCTCGGGGCTGGCTGCACTGGGTGGGGAGCTGGGTGGAGCCTGGTGTGGGTTCTGGGCGGCCGTACCCGTGGTGTTCCACTTGGGGGCTGTGTGCTCGGGCGGCCGGTAGATGAAGCGGCGCAGGGAGCTGACGGCATGCGAGCCCACCAGGGTGTATCGGCCGAAGGCCCGGCAGTCCACCACACGGATGTTCAGGGGCGGGTGCAGCAGCTCGTTCTCGGGGAGGTCCTGGGGTGTTGGTGACATGGAGCCTGAGCCTCATGGGAGGTCAGAGGAACCTGGCCTCTCACCCAGCTCTGCCTGAGCCTGTGCTCACCACTTCAAACCACTTGACCAGGGTGTTGAAGTTGGGGTTCTTCTTGTAGTTGTGGATCAGGGATGACTGCACCCCCTTCCCTGCACACTCGATGTCTACCCGAGGCCGGTCCACCTGGGCCAGGTTCACCCGCTTCAGGTCCCGCAGGCCCCAGAACAGCACCTGGCAGAGGTGGGGGGCAGGGGTGCCACTCAGGCGGGGAGTGGCGGTGGGTGGGCTGGACCCCCTGAGGACTTGGGTGGTAGGGGACAGAAGGCAGCAGCGGACAGGACTGAGGATGGTTCTGGACACGGCGCTGTGACCTTCACACAGGGACAAGCAGCAGCCTGGCTGGGAACCCGGCTCTGCTCTGAGCTCCGGGGTGACTTGGGCAAGCCATTTCCCCTCTTGGTCCCTCAGTCTCCTCATCTGGAAGTAGAGTGGGCCGTGGGGGTTGGGGAGGTCGGAGGAGTGCATGTGGCTCTTGGTAGAGAGGAGGCTGGTGTGGGGACCCAGGCAGGGACAGAAAGGGCTGCACGGGATGCACACACACCTCCACCCGGTACTTGCTGAGCACAGGCCGGATGCCCACAGGCACAGGCATGATGGGCCCCCGGTCCGTGTCCACTGGGGCATTGATGGGGGGCAGGTCAGCCTTCCCTGCTGGCCCAATCTGGGGAGCAGGGGTCACAGGTCACACAACTGGGGAGCCATGTTTGTCACCAGATCAGGGAAGACGGAAGCCAAATGAGGACCGGAGAAACTTGCCCGGAGCTTTGGCCCCGGCCCTATAGCAGCATGGGGAGGAGAGGGGCCCACGCACGAGCCCTCTTCCCTGTGCCCACCTGCAGGAGCTCAAAGGCAGCCAGCAGGTCTCCAGCTGTGGCGTTGCCGCGGTAGATCTGGTAGTACTCGAGCTGGGGCGGGAAGCGGGGCGGGCAGTATGCCTCATCTGCCATCTTTACCAGGGGCTTGGCGAAGGTCCGGCCCATGAAGTCGGCTTTGCCCTGGCATAACAAACAGCCCAGGTGGCCTCTCAGGCTGCCTACCAACACCTGCACACTGTGATCTCATCTGGTCCTTCCCACAGCCTGCCAGATGTTCCAAGGGGCAGGTGTGATCACCCCACTTCACAGATGGGGAAATCAAGTCTGAGGTGCTGTTCAAGGCTTGTTCAAGACCAGGAAGTGAAGGATTCAGGACTCAAAATGAGGCTAGAGCTCTCTCGGCCCCCTCAACACCCGAGGTGGTTTGTCAGAAGAGTCAATGGCTCCTCAGCTCTCAGGGGTTACCCCAACCTTTCACTCTCACTCCCGAACCCCTCATGGAAAACTGGGACTGTGATGGGTGTGGGGGCCTCCGTCTGTTGGTGCCCTGGCCTGACCCCTGGGATCCCAGGCCCATGGTGTGGGAAGGGTGGCCAGCATGGCTTCCGAGCAGGTGGCATGCAGGGGACGGGGGTGGGGGGCACTGTGCATCCACACCATGCTGTCCTGATCGTAGATTTCGATGACAGTGATGGGAGGGTCCTCCCGCAACTCATGAGCTTCACCATACAATTCCAGGTTGTCAAACACCAGCATCTGGTCCCAAGTGGGACACAGTGTCTCGTTCAACACCTGTAGCATGGCGTGCAGAAGAGGAACAGGTGGTGGTGGGTGGGCAGGCCATCACTCCCAGTCAGGGGCTCCACGGAACAAGGGGCAAGGTGCCAAGTTCCCTGACTTTTTTTTTTTTTTTTGGTGCCGGAGATCAAACTCGGGTCCTTTTGTTTGAGCAGCAGGCAGCGAAACCACTGAGCTAAATCCCCAGCCCCCCTGACTTTTTGAAAAATCCTGAAGTCAAGGCTAACATGAGGTCTGTTTCTAACACCCTGCCAAAATCTTCTGTCTTTCCTGCCTTGCGATAGAGTGCCCATCAAAGTGGCTCTCACCAGCGTGGCCTGGGCCTGCAGCAACCTGCCAGGATCCCCTCTACTGAGCTGGGGCACTGGGAGACAAACAGGGCCCATAGACTCAGAGCCCAGTCAGTACCCTGGAGCCCTCACCTCTGTGCACTGGCTCTGGTTGATGAAGAAGACTCGGGCAAAGGGGTCAGAGAGCCCGCTGCTGTCTGCGGCAAAGAGGCTTCGGGCCTGGTACATGTGGGCTCGGAGCTGGAACGCCTGCTTTTCTGAGGGGAAGAGCAGGCTGAGGACAGGAGCGGCAGTCCTGTGGCCCTCCCTGAGAGGCTGGGAGCGGGCTGGCTCAGGCCGAGGGAGCCTCACTCACTAGTGTACACCAGGCTGAGGGGTGGGAAGGAGTGCAGGCCCAGGCCCCTGGCCGCCTTGACCTCCTCGAAGCCGCAGGGCAGGCCACACAGGAAGTCCTTCCGCTGCTTGCTGAGGCCCAGCCACAGGTAGAGCTCCAGCTTGGCCTGCACCGTCCAGCCCGCTGCGCCAAAGCCCCGCTTCCCCGGCAGCTGGGGACAGGCTCTGGTCACCCAGAGCCTGACAGCTTCCTGGGTCCCCGGGGGTGGAGCAGGGACGGCCCGGTGGGCAGGGCTGCTCAGAGCCTTGCCTGCCCCTTCCCAGCACCCCCCCCCCCGGGCTGGGCTGGATGAGGGCCCCACCCCTCAGCGCAGGCCTGCCCAGCCCGGGGCGTCCCCAGCGCCCCGCGCAGCTCCCGGGGCACCTTGAGGAACAGCGTCTTGACCTTGGCGCAGTCCTTGCCCAGCTCCTCCTCCACGGTGGAGAAGAGCAGGTCTCTGGAGGGCACGCGGGCGTAGGCTGCGCGCTTGTTGTTGCTCATCATCCAGATGAAGACGTCGGGGATGCTGTGCTGGGGCTGGGGAAGGGGCGGGGCCGTGGCTCAGCGCCCCCGGAGCCTGCGGGACCCCTGGGGCCCAGCCTGGAGCCGGAGGAGAGGTAGGGCCTGCAGGGAGGGACCCCAGCCCGGGTCCTCCCTCCTCCCCGCCCCCCAAGCTTGTTCAGCCCTGTCCCCCAAGGCCCCTGGAGCAGGGTCCTCCCAGGGGCCGGCAGCCCTCGCTATGCGCGCTGACCCAGCAGGCCACACACCTCATCTGCCAGGAAGCGCAGCTTCTGCAGGAAGTTCTGGCACTGCCTCAGCTTGTCGCGCACCGTGTGCCGCTTCACCTGAGCGCGCAGGCTCTTGGCCTGCTGCCCCATGCTCTCCTGTGGGGGGCGTGCGAGGGGCGCTCAGCTGCTGGGGACCACTTGGTTGTGACCTCGGGGGCAGATGGCCCCTTTTCACCACCAGACCCTTCCCGGAGCCCCGGGGTCCCGCTGCGGCCTCACCAGCTCCCTCATGCATGATTTGAGGCGTTCTCGATCCAGCTTGGTGCGATACGAGTGGCCCTGGTCCTTGTCCGCGAGGGAGAGGAAGCGGCTGCGGAGGGGGAGCCAGGCTCAGCCCACAGGCACCCGGCCCTCTGCCCGGCCCTGGCCTGGGGCCCCTCAGCTCCGTCCCCCAGCCTCCTGCTTGGCCATCACCCACGGCTCACTGGCAGCCGCTGCTGAGCTCCTCCAGCACCCCACGCAGGCGGCGCTCGGGGTAGGACTTCTCCGTTTTGATCATCTCCTGTACGTCGTTCAGGCCTTCCTCCTACAAACCAGAGGGACCTAGTGACCTGGAACCTACTCCTTCATCACAAGGAGCAAGTGACGCCCCACGTTCCTCTGTAGAACCTGGAGACCTTGCCATGTGCAAGTCTTCCATCCCTGGAGGAGAAGTCACCTCTGGTTGTTGACCAGTGGGCTGAGTAGGACTCGGGGTTGGAGAGGGCCTGATGGCCACCAGGGACAGAGGCCAGGCCAGTGGCCTCCAGGGAACTCTGGGGCTCAGAGGGGCCAGGATCTTCAGACTTGGGGAGCCCTGGAACCACACCTTCCTGCAGCCCTGCCCCGCCCCGCAACAGACCTCAGGATGGGAGGGGGATGGCAGACACACCCCTTCCCAGGGGCCCAGCCCGTCCACCCCGCTGACCAGCTTGTCTGCGATGTGGTCCATGATGTTGGCATTGTAGAGGCGGCGGCGCTGGTCCGCCCACCAGCTCTTGATGTAGATGCAGGGCTTGCACTCCAGGTAGGGCAGGTGGAAGTAGTTCCTGGGTGGAGGCAGGGGAAGAGCAACTGAGGTCAGGGCCCAGGGCTGTGAGGGGGCCAGGCCATGGGAGGGCGAAAGCAGGGCCAGGGCCCACCTGTCGGTGATCTGGGGGCGCACGGGTGGGGTGGAGGACACCGAGGCCAGATCCCCGCCATCATCACCCTCGTCATCACTCGAGTTCTGGATCAGGTCTACTTCCTCCTCGTCCCCGGGCTCTTTCCGGGGCCGAGGCCTCTGGGGTCCTGACAGGCCATCAACTTCATTCCCATAGTTGCCTGGACAAAGCAGGGGGCATCCGAGGGCCAGGAGTCCTTTTCCCGCGGGCCCACCTGCCTCATCCAGGTGTTGGTGAGGAAGAGGCAAAGCCGGGCATGGGGAAGACAGGACAGAGCCCCAGCCAGAGAAAGGTTCCTGTTCCCGTGTGCCCCACCCCTGTCAGATCTCTGAGCAGAAGGCCCAGCCCAGGACGAAGGCTGGGTTCCCTCTGTCTCCTCTCCAGCCCCCCTAAGTCTCTTCTTCTCTCCCCATGTCCCAAACACAGCCCAGCCCTCTGGTGGGGCGAAGGTTGGTCTCGCTGAGAGTAAGTACATGTTCGTGCGGACACAAAGGTGCTGCATATATGCATGGGGACGCTCAGGGTAAGGAAGGTCAGCACTGTCCAGTCCCCAGAGGCAGGGGTGCAGGTTGAACAGCCACCAGCAGCATTCCCAAGGCCTGGCTACCCTCCCTTTGTGAGCCCAGCGCTCACCTATGGTCACCTCAAAGGTAATTGGTTTGTCTCCATTCTTCCGGTCGATCATTGAGGCTTCCAGAAAGGCTCCAAATAGAAAGAATTCTTCCACTCTCCCTGTGCAGCTCTGTGGAGAGGTGGTTCAAGCCATGCTTAAGCTTCAGCGGGGCAGTGCGCCTGGGCCAGGCCTCCTTATAACGTCTCACAGGCTGCCTCTTGGGCTGAGTGGGGGCACCCTACCGAGCTTCAGAGCTAGGCAGCCTAGACCCTGAAGCCCTCAGCCTGATTGTCCTTGGAAAGAAGGGCTGGCTCTGTACCCACAGGGACAACCATGGCTGGGAAGAGGGGCCGGGTGAGGCGCCATCTTGGGAGTGGGCAGCTATCATGGAGTCTCAGGGAAGAGCACAGGCAGGCAGAGGACAAGGGGAGAGGCCCTGCTGAGGGGCCAAATGAGTGCCTCTGCTCCCTGGGGGAGGCTTCATGCTGGGGCCCGACCCCCTGAGGCGGACCGGGCAGCAGTGGACATCTGAGACTTGGGCTGCCATGTGGCACATGCCTCACCTCTGAGACAGGGGTGGCCTGCTCCACCTGCACCTCTGTGGAGCTGGTGAGCTCAGGGTTGGAGGTGTCCAGGATCTCCACCGCCAGGCCCAGCATGAGGCGGGCGCGGAAGGACACCCCCTCCCCCAGGCCCTCATTCAGGTCCTGGTGCTCATCCAGCAGTGTGTAGTTGCGTGTGGAGCCGTACATGTTCACCCAGGCCGGGCCCAGCGTGGGCAGGAAGCCTGCGAAATGGGAGAGGGAGGGGGAACCCAGCCACAGCTAGGCTCGTTCGGCTGTGGGCTTCCTGGCTTCCACCTCCTGCGTGCTGAGCTGATGGCTCTTCTCTCACTCTGGGTCCTATGCCCAGCACGGTGCCTAGGCACCCAGGCAGGCATCCCTGCCATTACAAGGTACTGTTGCAGATACAGTAACTACATACTTAGAGCAGATGTACTGTGCTTATGTGTGTACCAGTGTTGCAGGTATTATATAGTGGTTCTTATTTTCATTTTACAGGCAGGAAAACAGGTACAAAGGACACACAGCTGTCAAATCCCTGAGGGTCTGCGCCTCTCTGACCATGAAAGCTGCTCTTTCATGCTCCGACATGCTCCGAGTCCCCTTTCTCTGCGGGGGGGGGGGGGGGGCAGACAAGGCCCTGTCCGGCTGAGGTCTGGGATGCTGGTGGTGGTGGTGTGTTTCGAGGGTGGCCGTTACTCCTCCTCCCCATCCCCGCCGCCCAGCCTCCGAGATCCTTCTGCTGACCTTTGTCTCCATCATTGGAAATCTTGCGCAGATCGATGAAGTGAGTGCCGATGGCCACGTCATTGACCTTGTCACAGTCCCGGATCTGCACCTTCATGCGTTTGCAGAGCGGCGGGAACAGGTCTGTGAAGACAACCTGCTCATTCCAGAGGGGCTCGTAGCTGTTTTTCTGCACCGAAGTCTTGCCCTGCCGGAGTCGGCCAGAGTCAGGGTCCATGCGCATGCGCAGAGTTGTCTCCATCCCCCCCCCCCAACTCTGCTCAGCTCACGAGGCCTGCAGGGAGGATTCTCCTAGCCCTGTTGGTGGCTGAGATGATTCCCAGCCTGGTCTTACCCTCCCAGCCTCAGCCGGAAGCCTCCCATTTTGCTTCCTATTTGCCCCAGGTTCGCACCCCTGTCACTACCGGCTCAGCCTCCTGCATCTTACACCCTTGTACCTTCTGGCCCGCAAAGAAGACTTGCACGTAGGGGTCAACGAGGTCCTTATTTTCGCCGATGAAAGCCTTCTTCACGTTGGCCATGAGGCTTGTGTTCATCCTGGGCAGCCCCTCCGCGCGATAAATTTTCACGTAGAAGCGGGCCCACTGGCGTTCCGCGGGTACCCCGTCAGGGAGCAGCAAGTTCCTGCGGGCACATCCAGGCAGGGCCGTCTGGCCAGGTCCGGGCCCTCGAGTTGGACCCTAGCATCTGCATTGCCTGGGGCGTGCCTGGCACGGTCTGTGACAGAAGCCTGAGATGGCCCAGACTGGGATTAAAGACCCTGGAGCTGAAGGTGCCTGCTCACTGCGGGTGCCCGGAAAATCTCCATCTACCTGCGCTTTGGGTTCTGCACTGTTAAGGTGGGAAATCGTACTATCCAGCTTCCAAGGAAACAGTGCACAGGCTCAAATAGGTTATAATATATGAATACTTTGTGTAGTGTAATACCAATCTATCTATCTATCTATATATGTTTATTTATTTATTTTAAATTTTTTTGTGATACTGGGGATGGAATCTAGGATGTCACAACATGCTAGACAAGTGCTCTACTACTGAGCTACATCCCAAGCCCTTTGAATTTTGAGATTGAATCTCTAGGTTTCTCGGGCCTTGCACTGGAGATCATTCTGCCTCAGCCTCCCAAGTAGCTGGGATCACAGGCATGCGCCACCACACCTGACAGCTCTGTCGCTTTTAACCATCCTCCAGCAACCCCTGGCACCGCCCTGCCCAGGACAGCGGGTTCTGTGGGCCTGCAGGGCTCCAGGGCTGGGGTAAGATGGGGCCTCACCCCTCAATGTCCTCTTCATCTGTCTCGTTGGCCTTGTGCGGTGTCTTGATGTTGTCTCCCTTGGCCACCACGGCGATGTCACACTTCACGTAGCCTTTCAGCCCGGCGGAGATGTCGTCGGGGTCGGACAGGATGGCCCACTTGTGATGGAACTGGTGCTCTGTGGCATGAGGGGGTGCTGCACCCAGTGTCCCCAGCCCTGCGGTCCTTGCCTCCAGGGCAGGCTGCAGGCTGGCTGGGCTCACAGGCCTAGGGGCTGCTGGTGGTGACCGTTGGACCCTGTGCCCAGGCCCTGGGGAGTGGGCAATGTTGACCTCTTCCCCCGAGGGCCCTCAGTAAGAAGGGGAGCAGGACACAGGCTGCTGTCACAGGCATGGGCCGAGCACCTTCTTGGCCCCTGCAGTCCAGGCTGTCAGATCTCTGAGACCTGGGCCACAGCTCTGCCTGCATCCGACCAGGGAGAGAGAGGAGGGCAGAGTGCTCACCCGCCTCTGAGCCCGCCACTGACCACCTGCAGGCTGCATCTGCCGCCCTGTGAGCCTGGAAGGGCCCTGCCTGCTCTCCCCTCCTTGTCCAGCTGCAAACTTCTGCTCGCTGTGACCAAGGCTGTCCTCTTCCCTGACTTTCTCAGAAGACATGCGCCTGGCCTCTTTGGCGCTCTCGGGGACCTATGTACCCTGCTTCGATCTCACTGTGATCACCTTTGTATGGTTTATCTCTGTGTCTCAACTGATGGCTTCCTAAAATCCGAACTGGCAGTCTCAGCCCAGTGTCCCCAGGAGCCTGTGTCGCTGGAGGAAAGGACAGGCTGAGTCGCTTCTACATCTAGTGTGCAGGTGGAGGGAAGCAGAGGAAGAGCTCTGCCCGTGAACCTTCTTCCTGCAGTTTTCTGTGGGTGTTGGGTGTGGGGTGCAGGAGAAGGGGCCATGTCCTAGATCCCCAGCTGGGGCCTTGCCCGTGCAGACATGTGTGGGACGGAGATGAACAGGCAGCTAAATGGCTTGGGCCGGGGGAGAGGGACCCAGGGCAGGGCGGGGCTCCCTGGCTTTCTGAGTGGACAGAGGCGTAGAAGGTGGATGGATACATGGACAGCGGGATCCACCGACATGTGGACAGAGGGGTGGATGGGCTGATGTGTAGATGAATTGGGAAAGTTTTGCATAAGATCAGGACTGACATGAAATTTGTCTTCAAACTTAAAAGTTATTTGAAAAGAGATTTTTTTTTTTCATCCTGAAAGGCAGACCTGTAAACACAGGTGAAGGTTATGGGTGACAGACTTCGCTCTGACATAGACCAAGTGCAGACATCTAGAGTAGAGGTGGGGAGCATCCACTGCTGGGCAGTCTAAGCAGAGGCGCTGGGTGACTACCAGCAGCGCTGCGGTGGGGTCCCTGTGTCAGGTAATAACGGACTGATGACCTCCAAGCCTCTTCCTGGCCCGCCACTGCGTGCGCTCAGGCGGGGGATGTGAGGTGCATAAGGCCCCAGCTCTGTGCCTTCCACTCTGCCTCCAGCCTGCTGCTGACACCTGCCAGGTGGGGCTGGCTGGGTGGGGAAGCTGCCCAGGCCTCCTCTGTGACCTGGCGAGCTCATCCTCCCTCAGCAGAGAGCAGCAGTTTCCCGCTCCCCTGGGAAGCTCTTCCAGTTCCACCAGGTCCTGACACCACCCAGTGCTTCCCAGCAGTACCCAGGAGTCCTGTGACCCCCGGAGCATCTGCCCAACACCTCCCTGGGCTGCTTAGGAACCAAGGGCTCATCAAGAAGGCCAGGCCTGGGCCAGGGATTTAGCTCAGTGGTTTCACCACCTGCTGTGCAAGTGCAAGGACCAGAGTTCAATCCCCAGTACCAAACAAACAATGCCAGGCCAAGCTGCAGATGGGCAGAGTGAAGACACTGGTCCCTCCCCTGAAGGGAGGGACTCTGTGACTCCCTGGGAGAGCACCAGGCTCATGGGCAGATTTGGCAGGAGGAGCTGCCCTTCTGGGTGTGTGTTACCCCAGCGGAGGGCCTGGACAGGGCCCACACAGAGTTGGGCTCTGCCACTTACTCCAGACCTGGACTGCAGCTCCAGACCAGCTGTGTGAGCATTGTGAGCCTCGGGTTCCTTAGTGTGAAATGGGAATAGTGATGCCTGTGCGGGATTGGGAGGGCTAGACTCGCTGTGACAGCTTGTTTGTCCAGGGCCTGGTACTGGCTGCTGCTCCACAGGAAGCACTTTCCTGACCAGGACACGACCACCCAGAAGCCCAGAGATGCACACTGAGCTCTGCACAGTGTCCTCCAGACCTAGGCCTGAAGACGGCACCAGGAGCCTTGCTGGGTCTGAGAGGGGGTCACCCTTAGGGATGCCAGGGATTTTCAGAACCAGTGGCCTACAGCTGTGCGTGCCAGTGGGGGCAGGGAGCAGGCAGAGCAGCAGACTGACTTTCTTTGCTCCCAACAGCACTGGACGGTCAGTAGGGCTGCCCTCCCCTGAGGCCCCTGATCCATGTGGGGCAGTGGAAAAGGCACTGGCCGGGTATCCGGGGACCCAGGTTCTATGCCCAGGCTATGGACAAATCCCTTCATCACCCTGGGCCACTCCATCTTAGTAGAGCTTGGACAGCTGTTTTTAAGGCCTCATGCAGCTTACGTGGTCTAAGATTTTGGGTTTCTATGTGTATGGTCTTGAGGATTGCACTCAACTTCACATGGTGTTGACTCATGGGTACCCACAGACTGGGCAAATCAGCCACGGTCTCACATGGCTGCTCCTCCAGTGGCCTGGGTCCCTTACAAAAAGCATTTTTAGAGCCTAGTGTCCCTCAGATATTGCTACATCAAAGGTGCCATTGACTGTCACCCCCACATTTGGATTGGGCAGTGTCACTTGGTGGAGCACTGAAGCACATAGCCTGATGCCCCCTGCCTCTCTGCACCTCTGGACTCAGCCCCTCAACTGAAAAGGGGGACAAGGGGGGCCCTAGGAGTAGGGCAGGGGTCCTTTCTGCTCAGTGGGTGGCAGCCCAGGCTGAGGGCAGCCTTGTCACAGTACCCATAGGACACGCCGTGGGTGACACAGTAGTCTGCCTCGAACAGCGAGCAGTCTTTCTGCGTAGAGCCCCCCGCCCCACCTCTGCAGGGAGTTACTGCCCTGCAAGGAGCGACTCCTGCCAGATGGGCACACACTGCTCCTGCGCCTGGGTCCAGACTGAGCACTGCTTCTCCGCATGCCAGATGGCTGAGTGCCAAAAGTCATCAGACGGTGCCTGTGTCCTCGCCAGGCTGAGCCAGGCACTGCCACAGTGGGAAGGACCGTGGGCACCCCACTTCCTGAGCCTCATGCACCATGGCTGCTTGGGCTGTGCAGGGTTACTCACCGGGCTGGGAGTACACGGTCCCCACATCCATTTTGAAGGACCCCACCAGGGTGCCGCTGCGCAGCAGGTTCTTGGAGTGAATCACCTTCCGGGCAGAACCAGCAGCCACCAGTCAGCCCAGGCATGGGTGAGGCCTTCCATGGCTGGGAACCCACTGATGGCAGCACCACCTTGGTCTTTCTGGGGACCCAAGCTTCATGGTGAAGCAGAAGGGTGTTTGGCAGGGTAGGGGTGGCTTCACGGAGGCTGAGGATCCGCCTCTCTTGGTCACGCTTGTTTTTTGCTGGCTGCCATGCATGGGTGAGTAGGTGTACACTATACAGAGGCACTGGGTTAAAGGGCTAGAATCCAGCCTGTGCATCCCTTTGCGCTCCTGGGTGACCAGGATAGGGCTGCCTTTTCATGATTCACCCAGCTGGCCAGTGGGGGGGCACCACACAAGCTTGTAGGGAGGGACAGCTTAAGTTAGTGGCCCTGCCTGCCAGGGCTGCCCTGCACTCACCGAGATCTTGATGATTTTGTCGAACATGACGTCAGGAGAGACGTGGAAGTCGAAGACGAAGTACTGGAGGGGGAAGGACCCAGGCTGCTGTCACTGGGGGGCCCCTTCCTCCTGGCAGTGCCTGTCTGCACCCCTGACACTGCCCCTGAGTCCTAAGGTTCAGGTGAGCAACAGGGGGACCCATCCAGTTCTGAGCAACCCAGGTGGAGACTGGGCCATCCATGGCCAGTAGCTGGAACGGTCTACACTGATGTGCCATGCTCAGAAGGCCCCATGGCTGGGAAGCCAGGGAACCTGGGCTCGGGTCCTGTTCTGCCCCTTTCTGGTGCTGTAGCCGTCAGTGACACATTCTTAGAACCCCAGTTTCTTGAGCTGTAAGATGGGGGTATTGACATCTGGCTCAGCTCTTGCTATGAGACCAATGAGGTACCATAACATAGGTCACCACATAGAAAGTACCGTGGATGGAGGGCCACATAGACAGTGCCCTTCAGCCGCAGTGTGGTTGGAAGATGTGTCCCAACTTCAGAGAGGTTAAAAGGTAAACTGGGCAAGTCTTAGGAAGGACCAGCTACCAGGTATGAAGCACTTACTTGGCTGCGAATGTAAAATGCTGAGGTGTGAACTGTCCTCTCACGCTGTGAGCTGCCCATGGACACCTGCCATCCCTGACCCTGTGTCCTGGCCTGGTGCAGGGACTGAGTTTAAGGATGTGGATAGTGAGCAGAGGGACCACTGCTTTGGTGAACTCGTGGGCAGGGAAAGGAGAGAAAGCTTGCCCAAGTGCCTAGGGTAACATCCCAAGAGCACGTATTCTGGCTGTGAGAGCCTCACCCTTGAGCACTGCGGGTCAAAGTGCTAGCTTTGGAGCCAGCCACTCCTAGCTGATGCTTCAGGGTCTGTGGCTTCCTTTCCTGAGCTCAGCTTGTCCCTGACCCACGGGGATGATGATCTTGGGGATGCTGAACCACTCCAGAGGGCTGGAAGGTGTGGTTGGGAAGTCAAAATGACAACTCTGGTCAGGCACTCACTCTGCCCAAGTGTCCCCGTACATGGCTCTGCATGGCAGCAACAGGTCTAGGGGGTGCTGGCTGGAGTGGGGGTCTCAGCTCTGGAGAGGTGGATGAAGGTTTAGATTTGGGGATCATCAGCATGGGGCCAAAGCCCTGGGATGGAGGAGATGCGGGAGGAGAGCCCTGGAGGGGAAGCAGGCCCAGGACAGGGCAGAGGAAGGGATGCCAGGCAAGGAGGCGGAGGGGAAAGAATGGGAGACAGGGAAGCCAAGGGGCTGAGAGCTCCCTGGGAAGCTGGCAGGCAATGGGGCAGAGGAACTGAGCTGCCAAGGGACCCGGTGCAGGGTGCTTCCAGTGATGCCGTGGGGCAGAAATGATTTCAGGGGTGACATGTGACTGGGAGGGCGGGAGTGGAAACCACTCAAGGCTACTGGGAACAGGGGAGAGAAAAGGTGGCCCCAGAGAGGCCCGTGGAGTGGGGAAGGACCCGGACTGGCCGATGGGTGACTGACTTCCTGTTCCTGCCTTGAGCACCTGTGGGTTTTCATGGTTGCTTCAGCCAAGCATGCTGTAGTTGGGGCGCTGCAGACAAAGGAGAAGGAGCCAGAAGAAAGACAAAGACAAAGTTGGGTGCTGGTGAAGGGTGCAATGCCGGATTCTTGGAAGAGAAGGCAAAGGGGAGGGGCAGGAGGGACAGGGCTCCCAAGGTGGCCAGGCAGGGCCAGGTGCACACAGTGGAGGAGTCTTGGCTTGGTTCACGATCAGCAGGTTGCTCTGCGAGGGCACAAGCCACAAGCCTCCTTCCACACAGCCAGGCTCAGAGCCAGCAGCAGGGCGTCAGACCAGGAAGCTGCAGCTGGTTCCGCCCCATCGGAATGAGCTAGCTAGTCCAGGGCCAGAATCCCACGCGCTCTGATTCCTCGTATTTCCTGAACACCATTGGCTTTTGGAACTCTCAGCATCCTGCTGATTGTTCCCACTTGCCTGTGCTGACTTAGTGGATCCAAAGGAAGGTTCCTGCCAGCTCAGAGAATTCACCAAAAGCAGTACACACCCGTGACCATGAGGGGATCTCTCATTGAAGAGGAAGAGAGGAAGAAGGAAAGCCAATCCAGCCACGGGGCTGGAAGGAATCACAGCAAGACAGCTCTGAGTGGTGGTCTCACTGCGGGAGTCTACCTGGGACACCTGGGAATGCTTTTGTTTTCTACAGCAGGGGCATTGGGGGAGACGCTATTGGCATCTTGGGAGTAGAAGCCATGGGCGTTGCTCAGCACCCTGCAACACACAGAGCAATCCTGCCACAGAGAATTATCCAGGCCAAAGCAGCCGGGGTGGTGAGTTTGAGAAATCTGAGTTTGAAGGAAATGGACAGAAACAAAATCGGTGTTACTTGGGCTTATGAAAAGGACACAAAAGTGTTGGGAGTGAATGTGAAATGGTCCAAAGAGGAGGTGAATGAACGGCCAGGGAGGATACAGATGTGGAGCTTGAAAAATGGTTTCTGGGAAGTAGCTAGGAAGTGATACATGAGGGCGGAAACTGTCCATCTCTGCAGTCTGAACACTGCCCACCTGGGCCCATGCTCGGCAAAGGCTGTTCTCTCCATGTGGTGAGAATGTACCCAGCAGAGTGGCTCTGAGCTGGGCCCCAGAGCTGTAGAAAACCAGAGCTACCAGTCACCAGGGGACCGAAACACGAAGGACCAATTGTAATTCAGGGATGTTACTACCACAGAGTGAGGGAGTGCTAACTTCTGATCTAGAGGGGGCAAGGAAGGCTGCTCAGTGGCAAGGACATTTGAACTGGGTACTGCAGGATGAGTAGGAGTTTTCTGGGGGAGCTGCAAAGCTGGGAAGCAGCTCTGCACCTTGGAAGGAAAAAACAATTGAATGAATGGGTTTGAATAAAACATGAGGTGCGTGGGCCTGGTGCAAGGTGAGCCCTCAAACGTGGCTTTACCACTATCAAGTAGCCAAACAGGGCCATGGGCTCTGTCTCCATACCCATCAGGGAAAGGTGATCCTTATTTAGGCCAGAGGCTTTTCCAGTCCAGGATGCGTCCATCTGAATGCCCTGACTCCACACAGGGTTGATGGGTCCTGGCCAGCAATGTGCTGCCTGGGGCTGGCAGGAAACCAGCCGGGCAGTGGGGTCTCTGTGGTTGGCTGCACAGGAGGGTCTGGCCAGGCTTTGTCCTTCCTGCTGCTGCACAGCTGGACGATGCTCACAGTGGCCCAAGGGCACCCTCGGCCTCCCCTATACCTCAGGACACAGACGCCTCATGAGCCAGCCTGGAACCCCTCCCTGCCTGGAGCCACTGGGGAAACAGATGAGATGTCCACTCCAGGAAAGGGAGCCCCAGGGTCCCCAGCTTGTGCACTAGGCTGATATGTGTGGAGCTACAGGGGAGGCCTGGGCATCCCGCACCACAGCTGATTGCAGTGGGAGCCCAGGGGGCTTGAGGCAGCAGCCAGGATGTGGGGCTGGAGGCTGCACCCAGATGGCATCTGTGGGGGCAGGAAGACCCTTCCCACAGGGAGGCCTCCGTCTCCTCCTCTGCAAGCTGGAGGACAGGGGGTCTCCGAGGTCCCCCACCCCCCATGTGGCCTCAAACATCTGGAGAGAACAGGAGTGGGTAGCAGGTGCATCTCTCACACTCAAGTCCAGGGCTTTGGGAGGAAGCCCCAAGCAGTTTATCTGACCATGAGGGCAGCGGGCAGAGGGTGAGCGCCCAGACTCAACCAGCAAGGCCCCCCTGCAGGAATCTCAGCTTCCCGGGTGTGACATGGGGTCAACAGTGGCTGCTGATGTACCTAGTGCATTTGAAAGAGTGTCTGGCACATGGGAAGGGCTTGTTAATGGGCCAGTGCCACACAGGCTGGGCTGGAATGTGGTGCCCGGCCCAGGGCTCTGGCCAGGGGGACGCTGGATCCATTCACGACCACTGCTACGAGCTGGACGGGAGAACCAGGCTATGCTCATTTCAGCGGGTGGGCCCTGGCCAGAGCAGGTCAGCCTGGGATCTAGACGGGGCCAGCGGTTGTGGTGCTGCACAGGGTGGGGCTGGGGCCCAGCCTCTGCCACATTCAGTGGGCCCTTTCCCCTCTTGTCCTGGGGCCACTGACCTCATTATAGTAGGGGCAGTTCGTGGACTCCTTCATGGAGGTGTACTTCTTGTCATCGCCCACTTCCACACACACCACAGGGTCCATGTTCAAGCCCACCAGCTGCCGCGCCTCTATCACCGTGATGCTGACCTGCGGGCAGGAGAGGGAAGGGAGCCTGACAGCAGCCGCACGGGCCTCGAGCCAGCCCAGACTTAGTCACACCCTGCGCTCCATGCTGACCACTGCCTCCGATCTGGGTGACCTTTTGTGGAGGGGCATGGCCAGCTGGCCTCTAAGCCACTGTTTGCTAGAACACCCAGGGCAGGTGGTGCTGACGCACTGTTGGAGAATGGGGATGAACATCAGGGTTTTTTTAACTTTTAGGCCAGTGGTCCCTGACCTTTTTAGCACCGGGGACTGGTTCTGTGGAAGACAGTTTGTCCATGGACAGCAGTGGGAGTGTGGTTTTGGATGATTCAAAGGAGCATGCAAAATTGCAAATCCCTCAAATGTAAAATCACAGTAGGGTTCCAGCTGCTGTGGGAATCTAACCTGCAGCTGGTCTGACCAGAGGCGGAGCTCAGGCTGTGGTGCCAGCCAGGGGGAGTGGCTGTGAATACAGGTGACCCTTTGCTCCCTTGCTGCTCACTGGATCTCCTTCTGCTGTGCAGCCCAGTTTCTGACAGGAATCCCCACCCGGGGCTGGGACCCCTGCTCTAGGCAATTCCAGGACTCTGAGTTTTTTCCCAGCACCCATGGCTCTGCTATGGGGAGGCTGCCAATCTCACCCCACAAGCTTCCCATGCCCAGAAATTAAGCTTTTTCTGTCTTCTTTGGCTGGCACGTACTCTCCTGCTCTAGTATTTCTCACGTAGGCCTGCAGGCCTCTGGCACATACTTGTGTTTCTGGACTTTGGCTCTCTTTCCTCATTCCTGCCTCCTCCCCTTTTGTTTCATTCCTTTGCGTGGTCAGGGAGGCTTAGGTGCCCACTGGGCCACCTTGTCCGGCCTGGAGTTTGGATGTTGTGTGTCTTCTACTGCGTGGGTCCTAGGAAGCCACTTTTCAGTTGTCCACTCATTCAGTAAATACTCAGGGGGAAACTGCTGGGATCAGGCACAGGGCCGAAGAAACAACTCTGGCCTTTGTGCAACTTACTGTGAATGAGGGCTGCCTTATAGAGTTTAAGCAGAAAACAAAAAACGCAAAACTCTATATGCACACACATATAGATAGATATGTATAGTTAAAAATGTACGCGTATAAAGATCTATATAGACACACACATAAATGTATAGAAAGAGAAACAGAGAGAGAGAGAGAGAGAGAGGTTTGTATAATGTAACTACTACTTTTCCTGAACCTTCACTTTAAGCTCTTAGTTCCTGCTCTGGATTTGGAGGTGTTAGTTCTCTCATGGGTGTTTTGCCCAAGGTAAAACAGAAAGAGGTACAGACTTGGGGATGCTGAACTTGACGCTGAGTTCCAGATCTGCCAGTGAGTGCAGGGGGCCTTGTGGGCCCAACGAGCCACCATCTTCGCAGCTACAACTGGACACTTCAGCTATCTACAAGGCTGTGTGAGGGTTAAATGAACTCACCTGTATTAAAAGCATCCCAAATGCTGGAAAGCTCTATGCAACTTGTGCCATTGTTATAAGTGGCTTCTCAATAGACTCCACCTTCAGTCAGTGGTGGGTCCCTCAAATAGGTAGGGTGGAATATGATGCTGAGAATTACTTCATAATGCTCTCTTGAGCTTGTATTTTAACCAAAAGCCTTTCCTCAGCTGTTGTTAGCATTTACTGTGTGTGTGTGTGTGTGTGTGTGTGTGTGTGTGGTTGGTACTGGGGATTGAACTCAGGGTCCTATGAGTTCTCAGGGCCCTCCTCATGCTGGGGAGGTGCTCTACCACTGAGCTACACACTCAGCCCTTGGAATTAGTGCTTATGCAGAGCCTTCCTCTAAGGAAATTGAAAAAGCCACTCTTTATGCTTCTCCTGCTGGAGATTTGGTAATTTGAATTGCTGAGCTTTGATGCAACTTTAAATATGATTTCACTCCAGAGAATTATTTTCTCTCATTTTAAAAATGAATCATCGCTAAAATTATCACCCACTTTGTCCGTCAAGGTCTTATAAATATGCTGAAGACCAAGAAAAATCCACACAGTAGAAGCAATGATGTTCAGAAAACAGAAACCCTTTTGCCAATGAGAACATTGCCAGGAAATCACAGGAACGGGAACCCAAATCTTTTACTCATTGAAGTAACACTTGAACTATGAAATCAAACATTTCTATTTGGAATTTGAAGTGTCAAAGGGAATGAAGTGAAAGCTTAGCGTCCAAGCTTCAAAAAGGTTTAATAATCACCATTTCTTCAGGGAGCTAAAAAGGAAATAGGGGTAATTAGCTCAGCTCTGAGAAGTTTGCTATGAAGAGATTAAATAGACACTAAAGTCCTGGAATATTTTTTTGCACAGTAGTTTTAACTTTCATGAACCTTTTTGGGTCAAAGGTTTAAAAAAAATCCTATTATTTTTTATCCCACAACTAACCCCTCACCCTTCAAAAAACACTTTCCGTAACTCAGGACTGGGAAGTCAGGCATGGTTTGGCATATACCACAGATTTATCAGCTGGAGATTAGCCTTCTCCATGCCTAAAGGTTCTTTTTAACATTTTCTGTCTTAAGGCCTGGCCATAATAGTAGCTTTTTTTTCCTTTTAAACCCATCTCCTGTTTCAGGATTCATGTATTTCCACTCTCCCCTGTGGACGGAGCCAACGTGGCGGCGAGGCATGGAAGCTCTGGCACTAGATGTGGGAGGTGGGAGGGAGGATGGAGCAGGAGGAGGGCAGAAAGAAGGTACAGGGACATGGTGTTGGGTGAGGAGAATGATACTCTGCAGGATCGCATCCTCATCTGAGCTGTGCACAGAAGAAATGGACCACTTGAAATCAAAAAGAAAGAAATTGATTAATTAAAAAGAAAAACCGGATCACTTTTTAGTATACTGCAGGAGGGGATGGGCCATCCTTTTCTCCAATCATCAGCACCCTAAGAAAGCAGAAACCCCAATGCCAGTGTGAGGACAGTGCAAGAAAGCATATATTTCAACTTCAAACTCAATTCTTTTTCCAGCACAGAAGATGAAGGGTCAAAGGGAGCCACAGCTGGGACCTGTGACCAGCTGACTCTTGGTTGATGACTATTCCCCAGTCTCCTGCCGAGATAAGGGACAGAATCCCCAGTGGCTTCATCAAAGCCGTGACAAGGAGCAGTGCGGTGTAGTAAATCTACACCTCTGTCCTGGGGAACCCAAGAGTAATGGAGCTTTGTGACCTGCTACGCAGGATCTGATAGTGCTTCAAGAACACCAGCTGGGAGCCAAGGAGAGTTGATGGACTCTGTTCTGCAGATGCTCTGCCTCCCGTCATCTTCAGGGCCCAGAGGTGTAACATGACCCGATCATCTGGAGATGACTCCGGTGGAGCCGTGGAGGACGGAGGAGAGCAGGCGCTCTGAAGGCAGGGAGAGCAGCAGGGAGCAGTTGCAATAAGGCTGGCACCTCAGGTGGTGGCTGGGGGTGAAATGGGGGTGAAAACTGGATGTTTAGAGGTGACAACATGTTAAGTCTTGGTGCCAGAAGACAGGGCGGGGAAGAGATTCAAGAGTCCGCAACCTACCAAGAACGTCCCTTCCAGGTCCTGAGCATCCCTACTCACTGGTGGGAAGCTGATAGGCACAGAAGTGACTGTGGCTTGTCGCCTCTGAGATGCCAATAATCAGGAAAGACTTTCTATGTCACATCCATTCTAAACATCCACGGGCCATGCAGGGCTGTGGTCACCACTTCTCTTCCAGTGGTTTCCAACCTCAGAGCCCTGGGGACCCTTCTTGGATCTGAGTTCTGCCAAGTCCCTGTCTCCTCTCACCAGCTGCCTGTGCTTTCTGAGGTCCTTCTGATTCACCCAGGCCAAGTTCTCCAAGTGAGTGAAGTCCTTTCTAGTTTTGTTGCTTTGTACATTGTGTTTATAGACAGTAAAAATGATTTCCCATTTGCCTTCTCATAACACCTCATCCAATCTCCCTCATCTCTGTCTCCACCTCTGTCTATGTCTCTCCACACACACACACACACACACACACACACACACACACACAGAGCTGAGGTATGAATGCACCATGTCAGGAGACGCTGTGCTGCCAGATTAAATGCAACAGTTGTTTGTTCAATTCAGAGGGTTTACAAAGTCTTTGAAGGGAAAACATCTAGATCTGGCCTGGTTAAAGAGAAGTCTCTGGCAGGAAACAGTTTGAAGACCATTTGAAAACTGCAGTTAGTAGTGAGCTAACATGATCCAAGGACCAGAAGAAAGCAACCGTCCAAGGCTTGGTTACAGAGAAACAGTCCCTGGGACCGCTGGGGTCAGAATCCTGGGTTAGAACCCTGGTTGTAGACCTGACTGTGTGAGAGAGACAGGGTCCTCATCTTCCTTGGCTTCCATAATTGCCTTAACTTAAATGGAAACACATAGATAGCTCCTAGCACAGTGCCTGACTTTTAACAAACCTTCAAAAACTAAGTTATATTAACAACAATGACTCCGTTTTGGATGTACCCTTTCTGGCCAGTCCAGTGACACAGTATCTGTGCTGGATACTTTGTTCTTTGGAATTTCCCTGTTCTCTATATACAGAAGCACACCCCTGGGCCAAGTCCCTGGGAAAGGCCTCAGAAGCCCCGGGACACTTTGTGTTTGTGTCTTGGCAGAGAGGCGAGAGATGACATCTCCAAACCTCCATGGAACCCAGAGGCTTGAGGCTGTCTGAAACCACAGGGTGGGTCCATTTGACCTTGCTGGAGCTGTTTCTCAAGCACCTAGGGTGCTGAGTCCAGAAAATAGGATTAAGGGAGACAAGGTGAATCCCTGGGGAAACATGATCAGATGTAGCTTCCGCACAGAAAGGTGCTACCTAGTCGCTTCTGTCATCACCTGGGGGAGGTGTGGTAGGGTTATCCATAAAGAAGCAGCAATGTGCACAAGGCCTGGGAAATGGCATCAGACACAAAGCTCTCCCCCTAGGAGAGGGGCTCGATCTTATTCTGGGGCCTGGTGCTGGTACCCAGATAGAATATCCCCAGGGCAGGAAGCTTAGGGACAGCCATGGAAGAGTCTCCTAAAGGCTCTGAGCTCCCCAAGCAGCCGCCATGCTCACTGCCAGGAACACCCAGCAACCTTCTGATGTGCAGTGGGGTCTTGGTAGTTCCCAGGAGTAGGTTTGGGGCAATGGGGGTCCTCAGGCTGGTCTTGAGAGATGCTCCTCTTCCCCTGCTTCCACTTTATAAATAAGTACTAGGTGGCTCTGGCTTGTGCACTAGCACATTGTGAACTGAGTTAGTATAACTCGGTTTCTTAGGTTCTGGTCAACTCTGAGAGAACAATCAAGATTGAGATTCACCCTGCAAAGCTGAGGCCAGCATGGCCCTGTCCCTGCAGCCACCAGCCATGTTCCTCACTTGCTCAGCCTGCAACATGGCCGCCTTCACAACCTAAGAGCTAGAAACCCCTCTCTGCTTCAGCTTTTTGACTCTAGTTTGGAAATATACCAACAAATAAATTGTGTTAATCTCAGAAGATATAGAAAAGCAAAAAGAAGAAATAATCACCCACACTCTCACTATCCAGAAATAACAGGATTGAAATTACTTTAAGCACTGGAATAGCATAGAGCAAGAATTTAAAAAATCACTTTCTTCAAAGTCTATTTTAACTACTTGAATACTCTGTGTGTGTGTGTGTGTGTGTGTGTGTGTCTATCTGTCTGTCTGTCTGTCTGTCTGTGTCTCTTTCCTTGGACTTTTTCTGGTTTCTCCAGCCTCTTCTTCCTTTCTAATGTCCAGTGCTGCACACAAAATCTTGGAAGGGCTTTATCAGAATAAGCAGAATTTGCAAGCTTCTCTTTGGCTTTTGTACCTCTGTACTTTGATATGTCCAGGAACAAACTTTGAGAATTATACTCAGCTTGGGGTTCTCTGTGATCCCAGACCCTCTGTGGAGCCTATAATGCACATCTGGCCTAAGCCCCCTCGCTACATACAAGGTCTCCAAGTGTCCGCCTACCTGGTAATCCATGGGCCGCCCGGCGCTTGGCTCCATCTTAATGTCTGGCTTGGATCTGAGGAGAGAATGTAGCATCAGCTTGGGGGAAGGGGCCTGCTTGCGAGGAGGGCAGTGGTAGTGATTGGACTTTGCCGAAGGGTGGAGGGACAGAATCAGTCCACAGACATGCAAGCACTACCGAACACAACAGGGAATAATTGTTCTCAGGACGAGAGGACTAATGATGGAAGCTACAGGGGACAGACATTGAGTCAATAGGTTCCAGTGTGGGCTGGGCAGCTCTGTGCTTTCTCTCCACCTAGAGGTACTCAGTGACCTGGGAACAGGCCACAGACACTGCTGCCTCTGCAGGGTGACAGGTGAGAGGCCCGTCCAGGAGAGGAAGAAAGGGTGGGCTGGGAAGAAGTTATCGATGAGCCTGAGTCTTCCCCACCCAAACTCCAGTCCTAGCAAGCTGGTCCTTTTGACAGCACAGAAGCACCTGGGGATCTGGGGCTCCTGCCCACTCACCTCTTGTTGGAGACATTGGTGGTAAGAGCTGTGACAGAGGCTAGAGACGCCGAGTCGGGGTCCAGGCCATCCCCCAGCCGAATGGCCAGGTGGTCAAGGTCCTCCATCTCCAGCACTGCTGGCTCATCTGGGGAAGAACAAGGGCTGGTTGGGTGGTAGACATGAGAGGAACAGTAACTTTGTTTCTCTTTTAATTTTGACACTTCCAAAGGTGAGAGTCAAACTCAAAATTTATTTGCTAGCATCTGCTTAGGATGTTATAGTCTGTATATTTGCAGTGTTTTCTATCTAATTATGGTTTTTGTTTTAGTAGATATTATGCCTGGCCCCTTTAAAAAAATTTGAGTTGAATGTAACTGTTATGGAACACTACTTACTAAAGCACTGAGTATCCTCTGCAGAAGAAGGTAGGAAACAAAGAATCCATGCTTACATACCTCTCGTAAAATAGCTACCTTCAACTGAGTGGCTACTACATGCCAGGCACAATGCCAGTCACCTTACACACATATCTCTTCAGAGGTAAGACCTGTCAAGATAGGCATTATTCTTGTGTCATGGATCGGGAAATTAAGCCATTTATCTAAGTAAAATAGCTTATAGAATCCAGGACCTAACCCTGAATTGGTGTGTATTAATCTAATGAGATGAAGAAATGGCGACTCTGAAAAGCCAAGATGGATGCACTTTACTCTCAATCCAAGGAGAAGGGCACACTGGAGTTGGCATGGCCAAAGGACCAGTGGGCCACTCGGGGGATGCTGGGAGGGCAGCCAGGAGCCCGGATGGTGGGCATGTGATGGGCAGGTGGCCAACACGCGTCTCCTTGCCTCCCCATTGCTCCCCTTGTCTTCCGCCAGTCCTCTCTGCCTCCTCTTAAACAGTCGTCCAGCTCCTGCCTGAGCTGACTGCTTCCTGAGGGACCAGAGCCAAGGCCCTTCCAGCCTCCCAGGCCCAGCTGAGCCTCTCTCGAGCCCCCAGGGCAGGCCCTAGAGGCCGGGCTGCATCCTCGCAAAGGCATAGCCACGAGTTCTTCCACCGAGCCAGCGCTCTTGAGACTGGTTTTGCCTGGAATGGAGTTCGCTAAACCACTCTCGCCATTTCCTCCTCTAAATTAAAAAAAAAAAGTCTCTGTGTAAAGAACGAAGGCTTGGGAGCAATAAAGGCAGGAGGAGCCTTTACAGACAGGCTCCCCTGGCAAAGGGCTGTCTTCATTTTCAGTCCAGCAGGGATACTGCCCTCCCTACCAGGCCAGCCTGTCTGGGAGGGGCCTGGCTCTTGGATCAGCCAATGAGAGGCTAAGTCCCTCCCAGGGGACTCTGGCTGGCCAATCCCAGGAGGCCCCATTGGGGGTGTGTCTGGGGGGCGGGGCTTGATGTAGTCCCGCTTGAAGAGGCTGCTGTCAGAGGTGGGCCATGGGCAGGGCCGCGTGTCCTACCTTGTCTCTGGGGTTCCTCCTTGTGGGGCCGGTTCTTGCCGAGCTTCATGGCAGAGAACACCCTCCTCCCGGCTCTGTGAGGGGGACCAGCAGAATGAGGTGGAGGTAGACAGATGCCCGGAGGACAGCACAAGCACACAAGAGCCAAACACCGCGACACACAGAGAAAGGGAGAAGAATCCCCTCACCTACTGGCCCCAGGACATATTAGGGGTTTGACTTCCCACACTGGGAGCCAGGGAAGTGAGGCAAAGGGAACCCCACCGCTTCCTTCTTTGTGCCCCTTTCGCACACTGGGAGTGGATGAGGGGCCCAGCGAACCGGAAGGTGGTCAGCCTGGACTGCCTTAGGGCCTTGGCCTGTTAGCCTGACCCTAACCTCCTCCGTCCAGTCTTCCTGGAGCCCTGCGCTCTGCAAGGCCACCAAGCTCATCCCCTGCCCCGAACCCCATCTGAGATGGTCGGAAAGAAAGCCAGGGGACCAGAGATGAGGATCAGAACAGAGGCAGGCTGGGCTGGCGCCGACTCAGCGGGGCAGAAGTTGGAGACATGGAAGCCAGGTATGCACCACTCAGACGGCTCGCGTTCACAAAACCTGCCTCGCCTCTCTCAAGCCTCTCTGGGCCCTGGGATTCTTCTTGGCCCCCAGTAAAAAGGAGGATATGGGCCCTTTCCCATCTGTCTCTGGCCCCGGCTTCTGTCCCTTCTGCCTGTCCCCTGTCATTGCCAAAGCCCACTTTCCCCCAGCCCCCAGGAACTTATGGCTGATTCCATAGTTCCTACCTCTTCCTCTGGCTTGGTGTAGCCTTGTGTCCCGGGTGAAGGGCTTTGCAGTCAGGGGGGCTGAGGGAAGGGGGCAGGGGTCCTCACTGCCCTTCAGTGATGTCCCTGCAGCTGAGCCTGAGGTCCCTGGAGCCAGAAGGGACTAGGAGTAGGATTGACGGGCTGAGGCGCAGTATTCCATTACCCCATCCATATTGCATGAGCAGGACACCTGACGCTCTCCACTTCCCATTCTCCTCCTCCTGGGTGTGGCTGCCATCCCTTAGGCACGCACGAGGCTGGCACACCTCACCGTCTAGCTGGCTCACAGCACCCATCTTTGGGTCTGTATCTTCTCGGAGCCCTGACCATGGTTTCTAAGACCTCTAGACCCTGCTCTTGTTGCTGCACAATGTGAAGGTGGAGAGAACCCTCCGTCCTTGCAGAAATGGCCTAGAAACTTAAAGCCCTTTGACTCAGGTTTGGGGAGACGGTTTCATCCCCCAACCAGGCCCTCTTCTCAACTAGGTCTTGATGTTCAGATGCCGGGAAAGCCATGTCCATATGCCAGTGGGGAGAAGTCGGGAATCACCCCTTCGTGTGGCACCAGCTGACTGGCCTGTTCATGACTTCCAAAAAAGGGATGGAAGAAGGCTGGTGTGACGCTGAGGTGTCTGCCCTCTCCGGGATCCTGTCTGGGATGTAACAGTGGAAAGAAAGGGGCTCTACAAAAGGATCATTTATAAATAATATTAAGGGGAGATGAATTATCAACATGTAAAACATCTGTAATGGTCCAGAGGAGGTTATATAAGCTCTCTTGAGCAACTAACATGGGTGAACAGCTATTCCGTATGTTTGTTCCTTTTCTCTTCCTAGCAATCCTATGAGTGACATATACTTCATCTCATTCAATCAGTGAAAAAATTGAGGCTTGGAGGGGAGGAAGTAATCTCAGTGTCCCCCAATAAGTGGTAGAACTGGGATTGAAGCATGAAGCTCCTGTCTCCTAGGCCAGCAGTATTTCCACTCTGTGCTGGGTCCATGGCCCCAATGCTGTGGGACAGTTCTGAGTGTCACCCCCACTCTGCCCATGGGGAACTTTGGCAAAAGGCCGCAGGGCCTGCACTCACAGGTCCAGCTATGCTCTGTGTGCCAGGACAATCTGCAGGTTAGGATGTCATCTGTGAAAAGTCCCACGCAGAAGGGGCTCATTGGAAAAATGACTCAAGCATCAACACATTTGGGGAGAGACTGCTATAAATGTTAAACTGCTGGTGACGTGACATCGAGTGCTCCTGAGCCACTAGAAACAATCACATGATGGTAGGATAAGAACCATCCTGCCCTCCTTACCCTTCAGGTGCCTTCCAGGCTCTTTCCTACCCGGTGGCCTTAGGAGCATGTCCCAGCTGCAGGCTGAGCCCTGCCACAGGCCTGGCCGTAGGAAGCATGGCTAGTGTGGGCCTCACTCTACTCTACCTCTCCCCACTTATCCCTTCCTTTCTCAGGGTTCGGGATTCCTTCCTGCCCAGTTTCACTGTTCAATGACTTTTCTCCTGAATTACCCAGAAGTCTCCTGGAGGGCTCAGTGCTGGCCTTCGTACAATCTTTTCTTGGTTGTTCCTGGGCTAGGCCACTCCTAGAGTCCCCAGTCCCACTGCATGTGTAACCTACACCCATGCAGCTTACTCCAGCCACAGAACCACCCACCTCTGGGGGAAGTGCTCTGGGACAACAGAGCCAGTGGTGTGCCAGGTTAGAAGAGGCCCTGCCCGGAGGAGCCAGCAACTCAGCATCCTAGGATAGGACCTGGACCTGCTCCCTGAGGCCCAGGGCAACTGCTGGGCAGCAGGAAGCTGTGGTTTCTTGATGCTGGTCCTGTGTATCCACCCACTTGGGTCTTGGGGCATCCTTTGGGCAGTTATGGCCCTTGAACTTGAAAGTCACTTTATTCCTTAAAACACACATATTTGGAGGTAAAGACTGAGAGTTTAAAATATAATATGCACCACATGGTGAAGCAGTTCAAAAGAGAAACTCTTCCCTCCCAACTCTGCATCATGTACCCATCTGAAGAGGACAGGCTCACTGGTAGTGCTCCCCCGTGCCTGGGAATATCTCAAGAAGATGCATGTTTGTTGACAAAAGAAGTGTGTGATGAGCACAATTTCCAGAACTCTCACTACACGCTCTGTGCCTCTGCTGGCTTCTCCTAGGCTTGTTGCTCGGTGCATCTGCACTGTGGGCAATAGAGCATGACGTCATCGCCATGGCTGCCCTCTGTAATTTTCTGATCAATGACACTAGAGAAAAAGCCTTTCCTGTAGCACCTGTTCCCAGAAAGCAGTGTACTGGCTTCCCTTGGCAAAGGGTAAAGGCAATTTTAAACATAGATGTTAACCTAATCAGGGAGTTTTGAAGATAACCCACTTGTATTGAAGACCTAGATTTTAAAAAAACAATATAATTTGTTGATTAGATTTCTGTTGTAATGAGCCTTTTAAAAAACATTAAAATCCTGCATTTGGTCTAGTTGATTTCTACAATTACTAAAGATAGGTGTGGTGAGAAACAGACACTGAAAACAAGCCGATAATCAACTCAGTGCAAAACTACAAGCAAATGGCTCCTTATTCACAGGCACATTAAGCTTAAGAAATAGAAATGGAGAGGAGATGGCATCTTAGGACCCTCTGAAGCTTTAGAATCACATCTGTTTCCTGTGGCCAGGCTCACTACAGTCAGAACGATAAATCTAAATTGGAGTTTATTCTCTCCAGAGTCAAGATTTTAAAATGAGCACACTGGTTGTAAACTCTTTTCATTTATGGATCTGATGATTTCTCACTGCCCAGGGCTTCTGCCTTGAGATTGGCTTTCTCTGGAACTGTTGAGGCTCATCAGCTCAGGCCTTAGGAAACCGGGAAAAACAAACTCTCACCTAAGAGAAGTGAGATCTGTGATGCTTCTTTGCATTGTTTAAACAACCAGATTTTTAAAACCTGGAGGGACATTTCCAAGTGTCCATTGATAGAATTATTTCATTCATTTTCCATTCCCCAAATATAGGTAATTTCATAATTGCAGCCTTTGCAGGCAGCTTTGACAGTGTGTTGAATTTCACTTAGTTAAGGAATAGTTTTCCCATCAGTGAGAACAGGTTGAACACCACATACACTTATCCTGACCCCAGGAGTGACAGGAAACCTGGCTGCCACCTTCTCCCCAGTGGTCCAACCTTATAGAAAGTCCTAACAAGGAGTGTTGTGGTGAGTATACTTCCCATCTCCCCAAAGCCACCGAAACAACCTGTCCCAGAGTCCCACATACCATGGGGAGCGCACATTCTTTCATGGGTCAAATCTTAAGTTTTCCCTAGCACAACTTACTATGTATTTCCATCCAACCAACCAGTTTCCATCAGCTTTCAGAAACTGCAAACTCTTCCCACAATTTTCTCTTCCTAGGCTGAAGAGTCTCAATTAATTAAATCTCTTCTTAGAATCTCATTTCCCTACTCTTCCAACAGTCCTATTGCTGTACACATAAAATAATAATCCCTGCAAACTTACTTTCTCTCATATGTGAATGGAAGATGGCAAGAAGCTAGGGTGTAGGGCCGGGGATTTAGCTCAGTGGTTCCGGTGCCTGCCTCGCGAGCTCAAGGTCCCAAGTTCAATCCCCGGTACCAAAAAAAAAAAGAAGCTAGTGTGTGGTAGAGCATGTAATATGGGCCTACTGTGTGCTTGCACTGTAAACTACTTCTTACCCCAGCTGTAGGCAGTCACAGGATCAGGCCTGGCTGAGGCCCAAGACTCTGGCCTGGGGCAGGCTAGAGAGGTGGACATTAGGGCCTCCAAGCATGGCCAATCCCAGGTGGAGGGCCTGGGGCAGACAGGTGGCTTGTGCTTTATGAATATGCGTTTGATAGCTAATTGCTCCAGGATAGACCCAAATCCTTGAGCCCTCTCTCTAAGAGGATCCCCCAGTTCAGCATCAACCTCCCCCCCGCCCCCAACCAGGTACATGCTTGGCCTGAGGCTCCCAGCCTCCCTGGGAACCTGCAAACTCCTCTGTCCCTCAGGTCTAAGGTAGAATTCTCCCCCAGAGGCCTCCATCACTGAAGCCTTAACACTGTGTGGTCAGGGCTATTGCGCGTGTGTACCAAGCCCTGTTGGAACAATTCTGCTTATGGTAAAGCAATGGATGAGGCTGTGCATTCCCGGGTTCTTAGTGTAAGCAATCACTTCATATCCTCCTGCCCCCAATCCTGGTGTGTCCATGCTATCTTCACACTAATTTTTAATGTATTGGGATCATGGTTTTGAGCAAATCTCTTTATATCACTGGGGCTCAGTTTTACTATTTGGAAATTTGAAGTCCACATTCCTGGGGTTTCAGCTTTCATTAGTGTTTTTGTCAAATTAATCAACTTTAGAATCCAGTCAAATTACCCAAACTTCCTGGGTCCGTTTGTGAGCTCTGGGTGGGAAGTAAGACTCCCTGTCTTTCAACCCTAGCTCTTTCCGTGTTCCCAGGGTCTCGGATTTGTCATCTGTAAAAATGGGGTTGGCTAGAGGCTCCCTTCAGAATGGCCAGCCCTGGCTACCACTGCCCTTGTGGTTCCCTGTGATGCTAGAATCTCTAGATGACACTGTGCTCTTGGGGGAGCAGAGCACTGCATCATAGCCTCAGGCCACCAGCCTCAGCTGACCCTGTGGCCTGTCCCTCCTATCTGGAGCCTCCTGTCCTTTCCCAGAGCGCCCTGATGCACCCATTTGCCAGGAAGCCTTTTGGGGAATGGAGACTGTGAGGACCACCAGATGGTTATCTCTCCCTAGCTTTCTGGCTCTTCACGTGCCAGCCACACCCTACAGCCACACAGTCCCCAGAGCTTGTCCTTGGGCCTCCAGGGCTGTGTGTCCAGCTGCCCGGACTACACAGGGTCCATCAGCTTCTTGTGCTCCCCACCCTTTGCTTTAGCCACACCCTCCCTTACAGGGAAGCTTAACGCCCTGACCTGCAGGGGTCTGGAGCTAAACAGACAGCAGAAGAAGAGCAGGGAATGAGGATGACCCCAAGCACCAAAAACGGACCCCAGAAGGCCAAGCCACCTGTCCCTCCCTGCGCCTCCTTTCCTGTTCCCCTCCCTCCCCCTGAATGCCCCCATGCCAGCTGCATCAAGACAGCCCAGCCCTAGGCCCTCTCAATGGGACCCCACCCTCTGCAGCCCTGTGGGGAGGGGCAGGCACCACGGGCTCTGCCTTGGCCTGGGACACCTACTTGTGCTCGCCATCTCTGGCTCCCTTGGTCTTCTCTCTGCCTTTGCTGAGTATGGGGGAGAAACGAGGAGACAAGAGGATGCGAGTGAGAGGGTGTGGACCAGAGACACTCGTAGCCACAGCCCCTGGCCTTGCTGACCCCCATGCACCCCGGGGACCTTCTTGTCCCACAGACTCTCACCCCGCAGCCTCTGCTACCTAATAAGCCTGGATTTGCTGGACCTAGGTCGTCATGCCCTGGGCTCTGCCTCTGGAGAAGGAGGAAGGGCCCAGGGAACCAGCCAATCTCCAACCCAGGCTAAGATCTAGAGATTCTAGAAAGTGGATTTCCAATTCCCAGGGTGGGGTCCTCTTCTACCTCCTCCCAGGGTCTGTCCACTCCAAGGGGTGGGAAGCACTCAGGCTCCGGGGGCTCCCAGACAGACAGGGGCTGAGCCTGCTTTGAGAGGGTGAGGGAGTCAGAGTGCTGCTAAGCAGGGCATTCAGCCTCCAGGAAGGAAGGTGGGGTGGGCAGTAAGTGAGCTGCCACTCCAGGGCTCAGAGCCAGGGAAGAACCGTCCCCCCATCTCTCTTTAGGTGGGCTTCTGGCAGCTGTTCTGGAATATTCTCTCAATGCCTCCCCAATGCCGTGGCAGTGAAGATGAAGAAAAGGAAGAAAAGTGAGCAAATAAGCATTAGCAAGCCTTTTCCTCTCTCACCCCTCATCCCAGGATAGTCTTTGCCCAGGTAGACTTTACTCCATACCCTGACAGCTCAGGCCCCAAAGGCCTTGTGACAGCACAGTCGAAGCCCAGCTTTGGACAGCTAATCTTTGTGTTAGGCAAGCAGGCCCATTTCCAATTCAAAGGGGTCAGTATTGGCCTGGTTTCTGGCTGCCGTAATTCAGAGACCACTGAGCAGGGAGCAGCTCCCTGCAGAGGAGGGAGGGTCGTCTCAGCAGCCTGAGCTCCAGGGAGCCATTAGGGGGCTGAGCCTCAGTGGGAGATTCACTGTTCCTACCCTGCCATAAATCTAAGCAGAGCTGCTTTTCCCTGAATTGTCAATCCAGTTTCTGGGGGAAGGCTTTAATTTTGTTTGGTTTTTTTTTTGAAAGAACTCTAAGACCCTGGAAAATCTGAAAATCCCAGCCACAAAGGATTCCAAGGAAAAGTACATCATCTGGGAGTGGGAGAGGGTGGGGCAGGGAGGTGGAATCGGTGCCCTGAATGGTGAACTGTGATGCCTTCTCAGTGTTTGGTCTGACATAGAGAGGTGCCAGACTCACCCAGCTGGGAGCTTCAGTCCTTCCCTCTCCTCACACTCAGGCCCCACACAGGCCCACGGTCTCTGAGTGTGGAAGCTGAGAAGGGAAAAGCCATCCCTGTCTATGAAGAACGATTACTCTCGTGATTTCACCAGAGCCACGGTTGCTGCTGCTACATCAGCAGCAAATGCAAAGAACTGCAAATGCCCAGTGCTTGGAACTATAATAGGCCGGGCCGTGGCTAATCCGCCAGCCCCATGAGCTGGATGTCCTCCTTTTTTGCAAATGACATTTCAGATGCTCAGGCTGCCCTTGAACACTCAGCCAGCCAGCAAGGAATGCCACAGGGCAGGAGGAGCAACGTGGCAGCCTGTTGGGACCTCTAGGGGTTCCAGGGGCCGAGTCCTTCATAGCACCAGGGCTCACTTGGGTACTCAGCCCTAGGCTGGTGTTGAGGGCTCCAATCTCAGCAGAGCAACTGGTCTGGAGAGGGGTCTCCTGAGCCTCATTGTACCCCAGATTCTGGCGTGGCTTGCTGACCTGCCTCCTGAGCTGCCTGGGGAGCCACAGTAGCTCTGGAGCCCAGCCTGGCAGAGGGAGGAGGGGAAGTGTGGCAGCCCACCCTGACCAAAGTCAGAGCAGGCTGTAATACGCAGCAGGCATTTCCTCCCATAGTGGGCTGTAATGTACTCAGAGCTGGCCCGAAGCCTACGTGACTCACAGGAGTCTGAAGCAGGAGGAAAGGAAGGCTGGCTGAGCACCTCCCACATGCCCAGCACCATGTACCACCTGGACTCATCCTGACATTCCTGTGAGCCCATTTATGGGTGGGAAGGTGAAGCTGAGCATTGCCTGAGCCATGGTGACCTCACAGAAAGTGGTCACTTGGTCATCGCGAGCTCCCAGGAGAGCTGTTTCCCATGGCTGCCGCCTGCAGGGTCCCTCAGGAGGTCATCACTGAGGGTAGCCAGAAAATTACCGAGCTGGTGAGAGGCAGTCAGGATGGGACCTGCTGGAGCTTAGAACTCCTAATTCACACCTGTGCACCTTCCTTACAACCAATGGCCTTCTCGAAGCTTCCAGCTGTGTCCTTGGAAAGCCCTTGTTTAGAGTCTCTTCCCTAAGTGGAGCCAGTGGATGGAGACCAGGCACTGCACCAGCATCCCTCGTGTCCCATCTACGCTCTGCTCCTCCCCGAGCAATTTTAATCTGATTCTGACCCTTCGTATGGCCCGGTGACAAGGAACCTGCCGTCTCCAGACTTTGTACGAGGAGCACCTGGCAGCCTGTTTGCAATCTGCTTCTCCATGATCCTCTTGGCTCTCCCGACAACAGGAAGAGGGACTCAATGGCTACGGTCCCCGTTTAATAGGTGAGGGAACAGGGTCAGAGAGGTTATGTGACTTGCCCAGGGTCACATGGTAGTGAGAGGCAGAACTGCCAGTCAGGCCTGGGCCTCTGCTAAAGGCCTGAGGAGGACCATGCCTAGCCTGAAGTGAACAGTCCCAGGGCTTCTTAAGCCCGTGTGGGTGGTGTTGGAGGTAGGGTGAGTAATGGTTCAAGCGAAAAGAGGAAAAACAGATTTGTTCAGTAAAGGTGTATCAGTTCTGTTACACTAATTGAGACCCTGTTGTTTTCAGCTGAGGGGCTGAGTGAACCTTACTTGGGAAGGTAAAGGTGGAAGGAGATTGGAAGATTAGAAAGGGATGCTTCCAGTGGCAGCAAGGACCCCCACTTTGAAAACACTGCCTGGGCCTTTGGACTTGCCAGTCACCCCCAGTAACCCAGGAACCTATGGACAACACTTCACTAGTCCCGACCAGATTCTGTTGCTCTGGGATCTCTGGGAAATGCAACTCCAGTTCCATTTTTGGAACAATGGTGCATGTGGAAGGAGCAGATGACATCCCTGTCAACTGTGCATGGCAAGGTATTTGCAGGGCATGAATCCTGGCCACTGCAACGCCTAGATCCATTCTTTTCAACAGAGAGGCTGTGTCCCAACTGGAGCCATTGGCTTCACTCTGGAAAGAAGAGGCCTCTCTCCCGGGTCTCTCCACAGGGGGAGGCCAGGCTGCCTGGGCTTGGTTGGTACTGCTGGGTCTTGGACCAGAGTGGCCAGGGTATCCTACCTTCCCCCCTCTTATTCCTTGAGGAGGGCAGGAGGGCCAGCTTCTTCCCTGAATGTTAGCGCTCAACTCCCAGACCTTTGCTTCCCTCAGGGTTGGGGTATGCCTGGTGCCTCAGCTGGATCTAAGCTGTCACCCCCACCCCGCCTCCCCAGTGGGCCTTGGAGGGAGCAGGTAAGAGATGTTGCTGAAACACCTTCCCACCTCCTGGATGTCTTTGCACAATCTCAGCCTTGCACTCTGAGCCCAGCCCGGGTGACCAGGCCCTAGGCCTTCTCCCCACATCTTGGGGGCAGCGGGCAGCCTGTTACCTCCGGAAGCTCTTCTCTCCCGGTGGCCGGGAGCTGGGGCGGGAGCTGGGGAGCAGCCCATCTGTCTCCTGAGTGTCCTTCTCTTCCTCCTGAAGAGACTCATCCCTCAGGAAGTCCTCGTCATCCCAGGAGCCCCTTGTGCCATCTGCAGCCTGATACCGGACCTCCACATTCAGGCTGGTCTGGAGGAAGAGGGGACGGTGAGTGGCTGGTGTTGGTGAAGGCTTTGACCCCAAGCTCACCAGAGGAAGTCTAGGTGAGAATTCCTCCCCCTAGGCCATTTTGCAGATGAGGAAACCAGGGCATAGGAAGACTGACACGCACAGACTCTGGCAGCTCAGTGGGACCTGGCACCAGGCCCCATGGCACTTGGCTCTGCTCCTCCCTGGTGTGCAAGGTCAGGGCCTGCCTGGACAGCTGAGCCTGGGGCTGGCAGTGGGCTTTCTGAGTCCTCTGTGTACGTAACTGAGACTATCATTCAGCGTCCTCAAAGGTCAGGTCATCTTGTCCTCAAACCAGGGTTGCCCGGAGGTTGGTGGGGCGGGTTGGCATGGCACATGTGACAAAAAGGGAAGGACCTGGGGCCTGGACACAATACAAAGGTGTGAAGTCACACTTCTTCCTACTCCTCCAACGCCCACCTTCCCGCCCCGGAGAGGAAGGGAACTTGGGCTTTTCCTCCAGAGCAAGTGGAGCAGCAAACCCGGGCCCAGGCTCAGCAACTGACAGTCCTGACTGGGCTCCTGCTGTGTCCTTGGGCCACTCATCTCCTTTCAGCTTCAGTCTGACCCGGGCACAGGGAGGGTTCCTTCCGGCCCTTCCCCAACCAACATGGGTGAAGGAAGGCCTTCCAGGGTCCAATGTCCTTCACATAGGTCCGGGGGTGACTTGCCCATGAGCCTAGGTAGTCAGCTTTCCTCCAGTGCTTGAACCCCACAATGTGCAGGTCTGGATTTCCCCAAAGAAGGGAAAAGCACAACTTTCTGAGCCTTCCTTATGCTGGACATCATGCTAAGATGCTTTCACGCAAACTCATTCATCTCCTCGACATAGCAACCCACCCTGCCCAACACACCAGGCTTTTCATGAGCACTGGTGTCTGCACCCCCTCTCTGCTGTGCTGGCTGAGACCCCACTTCCTGACTTCGAGAAGCCCTTTTGCCAACCCTTGGCCCGTGGGAGAGAACGGCCTGGCCTGGCTGAGATCAGAAGGCCCAAATGCTCTCCTTGTTCTCACAGGAAGCGTCTTGAGATGCCAAGACTCGGGGGGAAATTCAGTCTGATGCTGAGCACTCCTCTGAGAAGACCCCACACACTGTGGCCCTGAAACTGCACTTTCTGCCCGGAAGTACACAGGACCTTGGTGGGGGGACCACGGTACAGCCCCACTTTACACATGGATAAACCAACGTCAGGAAGCGATAGCTAAGAGTACTATTTTATATATTTATTGAGCACTCACTGCGTGCTTAACCATTGCAAGCACCTTCTGTAGACTCACTTAATTCTCAGAACAGTCCCCGAGATGCGTGCCATAGTTTTGCTCCCTTTTCAAATGATACATAGCTTGTGGAGTCACAGTGTTAGAGGGTGGCCTAGTCAAGATTTCTTCTCGAGGCTCCCTCACCACTGTGCTTACTGCCCCTGTGCAGCTGGGAAGGAGTTCGAGGGGACAGAGGAGCAGAGCGGGGCCTGGGGGCTGCGCATCCAGGCAAAACCGCCTTCCTTTGTTAGGGATCCTCTCTGTGTCCCCAGCGCCCATGCTGGGGCGGGGGTGGGGGGCAAACGGAGCAGGAATGAGGTCCCTGTCTCCCCAGGACATCTGATCTTATGAGCCAAGTCAGGTGTGCAGAGTGGAGGCCATGCTGGAAGGGCCAGCAGGGCTCTGCCTGGCCTTGGGATGATGATTAAAGCTCCTTAGTGGTTTCCGACTGGGTGCCAAGGGAAGCCCCGGTGATGGAGAAGGGATGGCCTCCCACCCTGTGTCTTCCCCAGCACTGTCACTGCAGCAAGGGGCTGGGGTGTCTACTTTGGGACAGCAGACCCTGTCATGACACACGGACCCTGGCCTGGGCCGTCAGACGAAGTTTCCTCCTCCCGCCTTGCTTTGGCGGCGGTTCACCGGGAACACTCCCCAGACCACTCTGTGTGGCAGGGACATGGAGTGAGGCCAGCACCCAGTGACCCCAGGGTGGGAAACTCCAAGGGCTCTCTGGGCACCCTCACCTTGATGACAGCATTGTTGTCGTCAATCAGCGTGTCGGTCACCTCCACGTGGTTCTCCTCGACCACCTTCTGCAGCACCATGCGGAAGGTCCCGATTAACCTGCAAATGGCAGGGGGCGGGGGGACGCGTGGCGGTTTCAGAAGAGGCCAGAGTGTGGAGCGAGTCCACCATGCCAAGGGCCACGACTGGCTGGGGAACAGACTAGTGGACTTACACAGGCCGTAGGCTGGGGCTGGACACGGTGGCCCATGAGCTAGGCCTAGAGAGGAGGAGCTGGCCAGGACAGCATGTCCATGAGGCATACAACCTTCTACAGTGTGTGTAAGGTTGTAGGTGTGAGGTCTGTTTCCCCAGAAGAGCTCTGAGGGGCAGTAGCACTGTGGGGTGACGTCCAGGCATATGGAAGGAGACTCCAGTGGAACCCCGGCAGAGCAGCTTCTTGTCCTGTAGGGGCTGCTAGGAAAGGACAGGTTCCTGGGTACCTAAGCCGCTCCTCCCTTCCAACCTCCCTAACCATTACGGAGGCCTCCACTTTCTCGCACATCGCTTGGTCTTTCATTCCACATCTGCAACTTGTGAGCTCCTCGAAGGCAAAGACCCCTGTGACTACAGAATCCCCTATTCCTGCTGTGCAGTGAGGGCTGGCAGGACACCGTTGGGCCAGGAGCACAGTGTCCCTGGCAGAAAAATGGAGTTTGAGACCCATCTGTGACACTTAGTAGCAAGGTACCTTCCCCCTGAGCAATGTACCTAAGCAATCTCTGATTTTCTCCTAGGCCGAGCTCATAACCCCTGCTCCGCTGAGATGTTCTGTCCAGGTCCCTGGCAGACCCTTAGCACACGCCCAAGCCCTAGAGGCTCTGTCACCGCATGCCTGGTGTCTCTGTGCTGCGCTCCTCCCTCTGGAAGACTGGGGTTTTGTGTCCAGCCGCTGACACTGCAGTGCATTAGCAACCTCCTTATCTGACGGCTGAACTAACGAGCATGTGAGTGCCCAACGAATGCTGCCTTGAGCCCCATTGCTCCCTGTGTCCAGAGGCTGTTGTTCTGGGAGAAAGCAGGGTAAGGGGGTGATGAATTCACCTGGGACTTCCACTTGGGTGGATTAAAGCACTCACACCCCAAGGCTTCCTGGCACACACAGCGAGTCTGAGCTGCAGGGGTCCTGAGGAAGGGGTCCATGCTGCTGCTGGGGAAGAGGGGTGGGGCAAAAAGGGGAGGAGACTCAGCTCCTTACCAGCCCATCTGAGTGTGGGGGGCACCAGCTGAGAGCTGACTCAGGCTGGCTGTGTATACACCATGCTGAGGGCTGTGTACCATGCAGAGGGAGCCTCTGTCCAGACAGGAAAGGGATCTTGGGAATGGGGGAGACAGGAGAAGGGGAGGAGACCTCTGGGCTCTGGAGGGTCAAGATGCTATGTGTATAGGTACCACTACCCCAGTGACGAATATATTCATTTGGATTGCAAACATGTACTAACACAAAGATTTTTAAAATAAAAGAAAATATAGAAAACAACTAAAAAGAAATCCTGCTGTTAATGTGAAGAGGAAGCGGGGGAACGGACGCACTGGATAAATCTGAAATGCTTCCCACCGAGCTCAGGGCTCTGTGCGCTGCCTCCCCATGTTTCCAAGGGTGGACTCCTCCCTCTAAAGCCTAACCGGACCCCTGGGCTCTCCTCAGACCAGCCCTGTGGAAACCCCCCTCCCCGTCCCAAGCTGGTCTTTCTGCTGGGGAAATGTGGCAGGGCGTAGAGCAGCTCCGTCTCAACTTTGTCTTTATGGAGCTGGAGGTGTGTTGGGCTTGGTTAGAGCTCTTAGTGTCTGCATCCCACAGGCCCTGGGGCAGCAGAGGATGGCACGAAAGGATGCATGGCCTGATCCAGGGGAGGGCTTGTCACCTTCTCCCCACCTCATGGATGTGCAGGCCAATGCTTAACACCCGATCTGTAGTTTTTGCTGATTTCCATGGTGTGACCGCTCCCTCCAGGGCCAAGGTCATGCTCAGGTGGAGTTCCTGAGCTCAGTGGTGCAGACGATGCTGCTTGGGGTGAGTTTGAGGATCTTTATCCTTCCTTAGCCCATTGCCAACTGGCACTTCAGGCCCCTGTCATTCCACTCCACCTGCTGAGCACCGGAACCCAGGTTCCCATCCCTATCCTTAGATGCCCAAGAACAGTAAGGGAAGGTCCCCAGGATCAGCAGAGGTGAGGCAGTGCGGCAAGACACCCCCAGGGGGCAGGAGGGAGCTACTCCCCCGCAGGTACTCATGGAAGCCTCTGGGCCCTTCCTGCTTCCCTTGCCTGAGTCTCAGCCCTTAGGCTCGGAGGGACCTGCAAGGTCAGCATGTCCAGCATCAGCCTTTGAAACGGCCTCCCGGCCAAGTCTCCGGGGCTCTGCTGGACACACCGTGATGGGAACAGGTACTTTGCTACCCCATGAGCTCCTGCTGCCGGTCCAGCCTCACTGCTTTCATCACACAGTGGGCGGGGGTGGCCTCCTGGCAAATCTTCTGCTCCTCACACCCTGGTCCAAGCCTTGTGCACACGAGTACTGCATGGCCATCGCGGAAGGAAGGCAGTGTAGACAGTAGAAAGAGACGGGCTCTGGAGTCAGATGTGAATGCACCCAGGCAGCTGTGCTTATGGTTGTTGCTTCCACCTCTCTGAGCTTTTTTTCTTTTCCTAAAGGGGGCGCTGCCACCTTCTTCTCCAGGTGTGGGGCGAAGCCTGAGGGAAAGCTCTCTCCTGCTGTGAGCTCTTGGCTCCCCAGAGTTGCAGAGCGCTCGCTGTAGGTCTGGAGGCGTGGACAGATCCTGGCTGCCTCCCACCTCCCAGATCAGCACCACCTCACAGAGCTAGGGCTGTCCTCGGCCTGGAGGGCAGGCTGGTACCCTAGGAGTCACCTTCAAAGGATTCAACTTAGCACACCTCCAAGAGGTGGTCTGGGGCTTCTAATTCCTAATGTCCCTCACCCTTCACCCTCAAGTAAAACTAGTAAATAATATTCTTTGAAATGGGACCATTGATATTATCTCAGCCTTACTTGAAGTGTAAAGAAAACCACTTTTACAAAACTTTGCTCTTTTCCCGAGGACTGTTAGGTATCATGTAAGCAAAGCCAGGGTACTTGCTATGAAAACAGCTTCCAAACAAAGGCTCTTGTGCTGCTTCCAGCCAGCAGGCTCCCCCAGCCCCTCCACTGGGCAGGAGCCGAGCAACGAGGAGAGGGGAGGCTCCTGACTCTGGTCTTTGTGGTCACCCACAGTGACTCTGCCAGCCCCTGCCGCCCTTTGTGTACCCTGGCTACAGACACAGCAGGTCTCGCTGCAGTGGGGTCAGCATGGAGGAGCTGCCCAGGAGCGGGGGCGTGGTACCCGGATGTGGAAGAAGGGTGGGCTCAGATGGCTTATTTCCCTGGAAGTGAGGCGATTCTTTTGGTGTCAGGAAACACTGGCCTGGGTGTTAGGAGGTCTGGGATGAAGACCTGACTCAGGGCCTGACCTGAACCTGGACAAGGGCCTTCCTGGGCCTCAGTTTCCCCCAGGCTGTTAGGTGAAAGCGGTGAGGGCTAACTAACCCTCTGTCCTTTGACGATGTCTGTTGTGTGGCTCATTCAGGTCACCCACCGTAAAGCAGACACTCCTTACTGGGGGCCCCTGTAGAGGGGCCGGGCAGCCTGGCAGTTAGGACTCTCAGGTAGTTACCCCTGGGGAGGAGGCCTGGGTGCAGATGGGCCCACAGACTGACCACAATAGAGCGGCAACTGGGCACCAGAATCCTGTCAATAATTCATTGCATTCCCCTGGGAGCTGGTGTCAGGTGCCCTGAGCTCGGCCAGGCCTCCACTGCCCTCCTGGCTCCTGAATTATTTAGAGCCCTGGCATCCTCAGAGCCAGGGCCAGCCCTTTGCCCCTTAAGGTCCGAGACAGGCAGAGAAAGTTGCACAAGATCCTCCAAGCCCTACATCTCATCCTCACAGGAAGCCTGAGTTTCCTTGAAGGAGGCCCTGGTTCCAGGTGGGGCTGAACAGACAGGGCTTCCTGGTCCTGGCCTGTGACGTTCCCTCCTCCCCATCATGTCTGTGTCTCCCAGCAGCTCCGAGGATCCATGGGTGGGTGCCGGGTTGACCTTTTCTTGGGTTCTGGGGAAGAGAACCCCGATTCCAAGGTGGAGACAACTGAGCCCCCCAGGTGGCACCTGTCAGAATGGGGCTGTGTTGGGGCAGGCACGTCCGGATGAGTGTCCTGGACCTTCTCTAGGTTTCCGAGGACCCTCTCTCACCAGGCCTGGGCCCTCCTTGTGAGGTTTCCTGCCTTCTCTTGAGTGGGAGCAGGAAGGCCGGGGAGGGCATAGCAGGTAGAGTTAGGATAGGAACCACACTGCCCCTCTTGCTCCCTGCTTCCTGGCATTTAAGAATACTGAATTGGAGCCTTAACTTGCAGCATAGTCACTGTGCAATAGTGACCCTCCCAAGTACTTCTGATCAGGCTATAGCAGGAGTTTCGATGTGTTCAAGGCTTTTTGGCATCTGGGGTGGTTCTAGCAGCTTCCACGGTTAATGGTTTAATAATCCCTTGCAGACCCTCCATCTTCTCTGTCACTGCTGAATACTCTGGTTGCTGGGAGTCAGAGGTGTTTAGGAGGAGGAAGTGGAAGACGAGCATCCTAGCTCCAGCTCATCCGTATCTATGCATGTGACCTTTGTGGACCTTCTGAGACTCAGTTTCCCCTCCTGCGCAGTGAGGAGTGTACTGGCTGAGCTCCAAGGCTCATGGGTGCTCTGACATCTAGGGACCAGCCTTGCTGGGGTTCTTGGGCACCCTTCCTGGCTACTAGCCCTGCCTCCTTCTCCATATCCCATGGGCCCTTCTCCTGTTTCTGTTTCTCCATCTTCCTAGCTCACCCAGGGAAGGCCGTGCTTCATTTTGGGCACCCCCGGCGGGGAGCGTCTCACCAGCCCTTCCTGTGAGTGCCAGAGGGAGCTGCCTGAATGACAGGGACCCTGCGAGGCAAAGGAAAGTCCCTTGTACCCTTACCGTCTTCCCTGTGCCCTGCCAGCGGGCCTGAAGTGCCCACACCCCAAGCTCATAGAGATTTGAGGGCTCTCAAGAAATCCCATGGAATCAAACACTCCTTGCAGCCCTTCCTGACTCAGAAATCCCCTCTACCCTGGCTCACCCCACCCAGTGGCAGGGGGCTCACAACCTCCTGGGACATTGCCCAGGACAGAGAGCTCTATTTTCCAGCAAAGCACCCTGGGCCTCAAGGCACATGCTTCCCTTTCCTCTTCTCGGGGCAGAAAACCTTCTTGGGGACAGGGACTGGACCTTAATCCCTCACTGTAGCACTTCTGTGATGAGCACAGTGTCTCTCTGGTAGAGAATATTTGCTCAGCAGATGTCTGATGAGTGTCTGGAAGAGTGGATGGATGGATGGATGGATGTGTAGATGGATGTGAATAGATGAATGGATGGAGGGTGAATGGATGGGCAAATGAATGAATGAGTGAACGAATGAATAAGCTAATACCTCCACGCCCCTTCAGACACACTGTAGTTCAGCCTTGACCCGCTCCAGCTTTCCTAAGAGCAAGTCAAGACGAGACTTTACGTTTCTTAAATTAACTACTATCCTAGATTGTTCAAATCCTTCTGCATCCTGCTTGTCACTGAGAGAGAAGGATGGAAACTACTTTGAATGTCTTGTAGTGATAACACTGATGTGGTGTGTACATTTCATTCACAGACCAAAAGGCATGAAGGCAGGCAGCTCTCACTCCAGCTTGACACCCTGAAAGCACTCAGTAAACGTTTGTTGAGTGAATAATGAATCTGTCTGATCAAATTCTCACAGCTGCCTTTAGAGGCAAATGCTTATCTCTTTCTCATATGAGGATATTGAACTCAGAGAGGTCACATAATCCTCCCAGGGTCACAGAGGAGATGAGCCACCTGGGGACCTGAGATCAGGCTTGCCTCTGAAACCAGCGCACCAAACTGCCTCAGCGTCTGTGAGACAAGTGGTCCCCCAAGGAGGGGTGGAGGGTGCAATCCACCATTCCACTCTTAGCTGCCTGGATGGGTTGCTGTCCCCCAGCATGGTTTGGGGGGAGCTTAAAGAAAGAGACAGGAAGCTTCGATGGTCTGGGGACAGAGGGGTGGACAGGAGGATGGAGTGCCCTTGTCTAATGACAGTGGGGAGGGCCAGGGTGCTGTGAGCACACCAGGAAGGAGGAGGATGGGAGCAAAGACCAGCCCAAGATGGCTTTGGTTTGGGAAGTCCATCCAGGGGAGACTAGGTGGCATGCCCCTGTTTTAAGGCCCCAAAAGAGGTAGCCCAAGGAGTAGGGCAAGTCCCCAGCCCACTCCACACTTACTTGTTGCTGAAGACTTTGCTATAGTTGAAAATCTGAATCTCCAGCATCTCATTTCTGTCAATGTTGCTGGCCACTGGCCACCGGAATGTCTAGGGAAAGAGGCACAGATGTGGTCTTGGGTGACAACAGCAGTTGGGGGCACAGGGAGCAGAAGGAGCCTTCAACAACTAGAGTGACCCCTCATACGGGCCCAGGGCTCCCAGGGACAAAGGATTCACACCTGGACTTCCCATTCTGATGGCCACCTTGTACAGTGAGTGCTGTTGTCCTTTCTCTCTCACTGATGGCACCCAGGCCATATGGCAAGGGGGAGAACCTAGACCTAACTTAGACCTAGACTCCCAAATGCCGTGCTCCTCTGTAGACCCGAGAGTCGGGGAGGCTTGTGAGTGGGCGGCGTGCGGCCCCAGGGCACCGGCAGGGACTGTGCATTATGAGTCGGGTTTTGGCGTGTGCTGATTGGAGCGGTGAACTTCCAGCTCTCTCGTCAGTCCTTCTGATCTCCAGGCCATATCATCCCTTCCTGTGGTGTGTAAATGTCGGAGACAGATTTCAGTTCTTTGGTGTTAATGAGGGTCAGGCCCACAGCTTGTCCCCGCTCACTGTTTCCAGAGTCACCCTCACCTTGGAGTCTTCCCTAAATAATACTGATGAATAGGAGCTCCAAGGAGATTTCCCCAATGCCTTAAACGTGGCCATGAGGACCCCAGCAGAGACAATGCGTGGTCCATTCTCTAAAGAATCGCCAGAGCCAGGCTCCTCCCGAGGGCTCCTTGAAGGTCCTACCAGCCCAGCCCTCAGTCAGGCTTCCTCCTTCCTGGAGCAACCAAGACAGGGGAAGGGAAAAGTAGAACCAGCTCACAGATTAGCTATCTTGTAAGGCAGCCAGCCACATGCAAGCTCCCAGAGGCACCGCCCGGCAGCACACTGCTGAGCTGTCCCTTGAGCCCCTCAAGAGCCTGTGGGGTGCGGCACGTAAGTGTCTTACACTCTGTGGGCCAAGTGGGGTGGAGCCTGAGGACACCCTGCCAAGGACTGCCAGCAGGAGGGGAGGGCTCAGCTCGGAGGAAGAGGCAGACCTGGGCTGGGAGGAGCCTGGTCTCCTACGCTGGCTCCACACCAGGCAAGCCACTGAGGTCCCAGCAGACCCACACACAGTGCCCATGCAGGAGAGGGCGTTAGCAGGTCTGCCGAGCTGAAGGCACTCAGAGCTCGTCAGAGAAGGAGGGGCGGTGTCCCAGACAGAAACCCCAAATGAGACCATGCCCCCAACCCCCCTGGAGCCAGAAGAGGACAGGAGGCCCAGGCAGGGGTCCTGCCACTCCACCCTGGAGCCCAGGCATGAGAGGAGGGGAAGGCCAGGTGGAGACAGCCACTGGTGCAGCACGTGACCTTCTGGGCTGGACTTTGGATAGCCAAAATGACCCGTGGGCTCAGAGGCTGTTCCCCACTATTGAGAGATGGCATCAGAGCCCCCACCTCTATCCCAGGCTCCTAGGGCAGAGAAGCTCAGCCGGTCCCAGAACCCGGAAGGAAGCTCCCCTGCTGCCATCCCAAGCTCCTAGGGCAGAGAAGGTGAGCCGTGTGGGCGCCAGAAGCACCCCCTCCCGTGGAAATGAGAAGACACGTAAATAAGTCTCAAAAACAGACTTCTGGATCACCTACAGCAACCCCAAAGGGAAATGAGATGGAACA